TCGGTGTTGTTCTGGTGTCCAGTCACGTTCGGTGCATTCTTGTGTCTGTGGCTCGCTTTCTGTTTGTCGCCTAGCTGTCGGCGTTGGTCACATCCTTCTGCACCACGCTGTGGAGTAACATATCCAACAAGGTGTTCCTCAGGCTGCTGCAGGATGTAGGATTCTTGGCACACTTTGAAAGCCTGCTCAGCACGCATGGTATGGAGTAGAAGCAATCAGATATTTATAGCCTTGGCGGAGATTTCTTGCTTTGATTAACTTAAGTTGGGTTGAGGCACAAGGGGCATCTGTAGTTCCTATTTCCACCACGGCTGTCTGTGCTAGCACCCCGGCGCTGGTGTATGGTGTTCACAGCAGCTTTGTAATGCTCTCTGATTTGAAGAAGTGAATCTTATCACGATGACCAACGACAACGGTAGCAACAACAGTAACGACAACGACAACAACAACAACAACAACAACAACAACAACAACAACAACAACAACAGCAACAACAAGAATTCTCTTATTGGCCACAGGTCATCGTGAGAATAAAAGACTTTTTTTTTAAAAGACAGCCACAACAATGGCATATACTGCCATAGATTTGTTTTACACACTTTCTCTACTGCTCTTACTCAGTAACATCAGTGTGTTCAACAAACATGCCCGGCGCCCTGCCTGTGGAACCTCACCTGAACTTTGTGAAAGTCTCTCTTTCCTCTTGCCACAGGGTCTTCTGTGTGTTTTGTGTGTTTCCTGGATATGCATGTACATACCGTGGTGCTGTGTGTCTTCCTCGTGTGTGTGTGTGTGTGTGTGTGTGTGCGTGTGCGTGCGTGCATGCGTGCGTGTGTACAGGTGATGAGATGGGTATGATAGAGGATATGTGGTTTGCTGTTCGTCAGCTGAACAATGTCAAGCTACACGTGAGTCACCAGTACTTGATCTATACTCTACTTGGTGGGTGGGTGTGGAAGTGTACGTGGGTGGGTGGGTGTGTATGTGTGTGTGCGCGCTCGTGTGCGCGCGCGCGCGTGTGTGTGTGTGTGTATGTGTGTGTGCATGCATGTGTGCCTGTGTACGTGTGCGTCCCCGCGTGCGTGTGTGTGTGTGTGTGTGTGTGTACATGTGTCGGTATGGGCAATGCTACCCATGCCATGCTGACAGCTTCTCACTATCCCTGGTCGCAAGTAACAAGGCAAGGGACATTGTAGCGCCCTGCATTCTGGATAACACTGAGCCGGCATGCTGGAGCACTGGTAGGGTAGGGTATTCAGCGATCCATGCCAGCACGGCTGCGTTCAAGTGTGCTGTGAGGTGCGGTGATTAGTGTTGGCCCAGTCTCATCTTTCTTCAGTCCTGCAAGCTTACAAATTACAAGCAAAGTAATTATTTGTGTGTTTGTGCTGCTGCTCAGATTGTGTGTGTAGATAATGGTGACTTGGGAGAGCCTGAAGTGTCTGGCACTCGGTAAGGTGCTGTCATACATCCAGTGTGTTGCTACTTGTGTGTGTGTGTGTGTGTGTGTGTGTGCGTGTGTGCGTGTGCGTGTGTGCGTGTGTGTGTGTGTGTGTGCATGCGTGCGCGCGCGTGAGTGTGTGCGTGCATGCGTGTGATGTGTGTTAGCCATTTATTATTCATTTACAATGCTATGTGGGTTGTTCCGGGCATTAGCGGCCATCATGAGTTCTCTTGGGAACAGAGACGAAAATTTGCTTCGCTTACATTTAAATTGCGACATAGGGTGCAGGTTGGTCTGTGACATAGGGTGTATGTTGGTCTGTGACATGTTCATGATTGAACAGGGGCTGTTTGTGGTAAGTTACCTGTGCTGCAGAACTGCATATAACCTGGATTGACTTTCATTGGAAATATATACACAGAACTGAACAGTACGTGTAGTTACACATGATGCAGATCAGATATGGATGGTGTGCTTTGAAAGAGATACCTGTGCACTGCCAATGTGCATTTGGCAACTACCGTATTCTCCAGAGTAACGTTATAAGCCGCACTTCAAACTCTTGCAATTCACCCCAGAAAGTCAGCGCGGCTTAACTTATACTACGATGGTCTAATGAATGAATGGTGATATACTTGGTAGATCACGGTCTGTATTTCGTGACAACAAATCTGAGTGCAGCTTTTACTCCAGTGCGACAATACGGTACTGATGTTTGTGTCTGTGTGTTGTACGTATGCGTGTGTGCCTTCCTGCATGGTCTCTGTCCTGCACCGTCTCCACCTTGCATGGTTTCAGCTGGGATATGCATGTGAATGTACCACTGCAAGAGTCGCTGTTCGAGGAACTGCCCGCTGTGCTGCGTAACGGGGACGACATACGAGTGCGAGCCGTCCTCTTCACACAGGGTATCAACGAGGCGCAGACACTGGCCGACCTGAATTTTGTCTCACAGTAAGCTCTTGATTGTAATAGGGTTGTTGATCATTCGTATCAATGTTGCTGTTGCTGCTGCTGCTGCTGCTGCTGTTGCTGCTGCTGTTGCTGTTGCTGTTGCTGTTGCTGTTGCTGTTGCTGTTGCTGTTGCTGTTGTTGTTGTTGTTGGTGGTGGTGGTGGTGGTGGTGGTGGTGGCGGTGGTGGCGGTGGTGGTATGTGTGTGAGAGAGAGAGAGAGAGGGGGGGGGGGGTAAGATCTCTTGGCTTAGTTTTCTGAAAGTTGAAAAATCAACAATACATTCAGTCTATACTGCTGTGAGCACTTTAAAAAGACTGCTACTTGATCCTGGTGCTGCATGTGTTTTTTTTGTGATTCGTTGCCCTTGCTGCCTGCAGGTCCCACATTCAATCTGACATCAACCAGGGAAGTTACCCGATCATGGCTGAGTTTGTACAGTCGTATCGTGCTCTGTGTGTCGACATTGGTAAGCAGCGAGTTTATCTGATTTGCCGAACGCTGCCTGAATGTTTGAACATGGCTTCCTTTCCTACGATGCTCAGTCCCTACACATTGCAACAGTGCAATAGTTCCTGGCAGTCCATTGCATATCAGTATGTTCACTACAGTGCACTCTGTGATGCAGATAGCGAGTGCACACCATTGGGTATAGCTTCATTTTAGCCCAAGGTTTTCATTCCTCTTTGTGCTGTGTTCGCTCCTCTTCTGGCAGGCTCAGCCAAGCTAGCTGTTGAGGCATCGGTCCTTCCACCTTTGCTGGATCAACTGGAGGATGCTGTCAAGTCTACGAAATCAAAGAACGTTGAAATACTACGGTTGTCTGAGGAGGTGAGGGATGCGAGTGTTAAGAGCAGCCAGTCCGGCGGTGCAACTACTCGCATACAGCAGCCAGCCCAGCGGTGCAACTACTCGCATACATATTCACATGTGCTGAGGTGTTTGTGAAATAGTTTGTGTAGGTGCCTGGGTAAGAGGTCCCAGTATGCCGTTGCCATACTGCCTGGGCGCCTGTTCACCAAACCAGCAGCATGTGTATGTGACTATGTAGCCTTTACCCTAACAGGTCATGTGTGTACAGCAAGATAGATGCTTTCGTTTGTCAACTTGTGCGGTGCTTCAAATCTTTGCTTTCACAATGGCCTGTGGCCAATGAGAGTATTGTTGCTGTTGCTGTTTTGAATTCTTTATTCTCACGATGGCACCATCGCCAATAAGAGAGCTGTTGTTGTTGTTGTTGTTGTTGTTGTTGTTGTTGTTGTTGTTGTTGTTGTTGTTGTTGTTGTTGTTGTTGTTGTTGTTGTTGTTGTTGTTGTTGTTGTTGTTGTTGTTGTTGTTGTTGTTGTTGTTGTTGTTGTTGTTGTTGTTGTTGTTGATGTTGTTGTTGTTGTTGTTGTCGTCGTAGATAAGCCATCGTATCTTTGCCGGTCGTCTGACCAGCTGTAAGAGTGCCAAGGACCGCACAGCCATGGCAGTTACCCTGGAGCAGTGTCACATACTGCTACGTGATCACGGCCTGCTGCACTCCGACTTCCAGCAAGCGCTGGATAGCATGCGAAGGTTAGTACCAGTACATGTGCACGCATCCACAGCCATTGTCTGCTCACTGGCATCTCCTCTGACACCATCTACTAGAAAGTACAGTAGTGCCAAGTGCCGAAACACCAGGGGCCTGCAACACAGCGTAGGTCGTTCTTATTTTTTATGTACTAGAGTGTATGCGCAGTCGAGCTACTCACGGTGTATGATTCGCTAAACTGTGTTTGGTGAAATGCTAGCCTGTTCGTTCCTGAGCGCTCTGTCCTTCGGCGCCCAACCGCACTGTATTTCAGTACTAACAGTTACCACTCGTATTTTCTTTACCACAGTCTGCTCAGTAGATCAGGAACACAATGATGAAGTATGTGAAGCGTGTGGTGCCACCTTACTTAGCCCTGGACATTGGACGTCACTCACAAGACTGGTGCATTCGATTTTGACTTGCTGCTCTAAACGGAAATCCTAGTGCGGACTGGGAGTACAGATATGCAGTTCACACCGTCCAGAACTAGTTAACTAGGAAGAGGCCGGAAGCAGAGCGTGCGCAAATATGGATCTTAAACAAGGCAGACTGTAGGCAGACTGTAGGCAGACTGTACCTTGACAACATGACGACAAGTGTACATGACGTACGGCTAACTAAACAGAGTGTACATGACGTACGGCTAACTAAACACAGTGTACATGACGTACGGGTAACTAAACAGAGTGTACATGACGTACGGCTAACTAAACAGAGTGTACATGACGTACGGGTAACTAAACACAGTGTACATGACGTACGGCTAACTAAACAGAGTGTACACATAGATTGGCACTAACACAAAAGCGAAAGACAACAGCGGGAATGTGCGTAAATTTGTTTGATCAAGAGAGTCACGACAGTTGTTGTCGTTATTGCTGCTGCTGCTGTTGCTGCTGTTGTTGTTGCTGCTGCTGCTGTTGTTGTCGTTGTTTTTGTTGCTGCTGCTGCTGCTGTTGTCGTTGTTGTTGTTGTTGCTGCTGTTGCTGCTGCTGTTGGTGCCGTTGTTGTTCAGCCGAGGCACACGTCTGCAGAACTGCATGAAGAACATTGGCCATCGGCAGTACGCATTCAACAGCTTCCAGTTGAAATGTATTCCGGCACTCTACTGTCCGCCTGCGGGTACCTTTGGCAAGCGTGTACAAGGCTGACTGGAGTGTGTTCGGGTACCTTTGGCAAGCGTGTACCAGGCTGACTGGTGTGTGTTCGGGTACCTTTGGCAAGCGCGTACAAGGCTGACTGGAATGTGTTCGGGTACCTTTGGCAAGCGTGTACAAGGCTGACTGGAGTGTGTCCGGGTACCTTTGGCAAGCGCGTACAAGGCTGACTGGAGTGTGTTCAGTGACACACCGGACACAACACTAGACGCGTGACATTCGGCAGCCTTCCACGGCGTACAATGAACGGTGAGTATTGCTCTGATCCAAGGTTCTGCTGCTAAGTATCTGCTGGAGGCCGAGCCCGAGTAATGCACGTGCAAACACGAATGACAAGCAAACTATAAAACTACCACAACTAAATTAGTGCGACCCAGCAGATGACATCCTCTATATTATGATTTCTGGCAATTTGTGGCGTTTTGGTTATTCTCTGCCTTGAATACCTATGCATGTGTTAGGGTTGCTATGTGTTATGTTGCCTTGATATGACTATCAATGGGTTGCTATGTGTTATGTTGCCTTGATATGACTATCAATTGTGTAAACACAACCAAGTCAGTTAGCATTTCTGTCCTACTAATGACTCATCACCCACTTGCCATTTTCTTGACCCGTAAATTAAGTTATTTTTTTCACCGACACCGAATGGTGATACAGTAATTGGATTTACTTAGGATTTGGCAAACAATTTGTTTAGGCTGCCCTGGAATTTTTAATTTTTTAATATCACTTGCAACAAGTGCTTGTAGTGCTTTCACTGTTATTCCTTGATGTCCCACAACACGAATTTCACTTGACTAGCTCTTATTCTTTTTTACGCTTTCAAATTACCCTGCTGTTATTGTTATTCTCCTTTCTTTTGTCAATTGTTGTAAGTGTTTCTGGTCTTGTCTAGGTCATATCAAAAATCTAATAATTATTGTGATGTGGTGAGGTTGTCCTGTTACACAAATCCCTCCATTGGCCTTGCCTGAGCCACACACACACTAGCTGGGACTCAGATCCGCCTAATTTACTTACTGTAGTACTGGGTCACTTGCCGGCTCGTAGGCTGACCACAAAGCTGTCAGAACAAGTCATAGCTAGATGCAGGGGGGGGGGGGGGGGATAAGCATCAAACTGGGTGGTAAGTGGGGAGAGGGGTGGACAAAATCAAAAAGTGGGTGATGCCACGAGATGAAACTCTGAAAACAGGGAAGAAGGCAAGCTTCTCCAGAAGCAGAAATCACGAAATGTACAGCAAATACTGAACAAAATTTGTACAAGATTGATACGAACGAAAAGCGTGAACAAAAAAACAGCTATAAATATACAGACAGTATAAAACTGCTGTTGACTGACAGCAGTATTCGTATGAACAAAAAGAAAAAATTAGGTAGTACCCTGAAGGCGCCGACACAGCAGCAGCGGCTGCTCAACCGCACAGGGGTTGCCAACAGAAGGGGGGGGGGAAGCAGGATGGCCAGCTAGCAGAACTCGTGCGCACGGGCTCCACGGAGAGAAGATGCAAATAAATAGAAAAATCCTCGTTCGCAGTAGCAGTATCTGGCACTATGGGGTTGTGTACGGGGTTATACAGGACACTAGCATATTATTTTATACACGACACTAGCATATTATTTTAAACTGAAAATGGCAAACGCCGATGTAAAGCTGTACAGGCACGTACACGAGACTGCGTTGGCAGGTTGGACATCAGTCGGCCATCAGTCAGCCCCGCCATTCAATCAAAACAGTGATGTGTAAATCGAAAAGACACTCAAAGCAATACGCGTACTTACTACCGGTTGAGGAGTGATCTCTCTCCGGCAAATTCGAACATTCAAGTAAATAGGAATCTCTAGGAAGTCATGATAGTCGTCACATAAAGTGACATCATCATCTCTAGGATGACATCATCACCACTAGGATGACATGATCATCTCCAGGATGACATCATCTCCAGCTCCGCAGCACTCGAGCACAACTGAACAGGCACTGGCATCCCAATATGCAACAGCAGCAGCAGCAGCAGCACGTCAGGACAAAGCTGACAATGCCAATGGGAAGCTTATCTCAGTAAGTGTAGCCACTGGACACATAGCACTGAACAAAAACAAATATTTCCTAACTAATTTTGGTGGGTAGCAGCCATGCCTCATGCTGAAGCTTCAGTGGTGATCATCAACTCTTCTTCCTGGTTGCCGCCACCAAGATCAGCATCCAAGTTGCTGTCATCATCGTGGAAGGAGAGCTGAGCTGGTCCAGTCAGACTCTGCATGTCCAGGTCTTCAGCACCTTCATTCATGTAGGACGTAGCGACATGATCATCATCCGATGTCGTAGACTATATGGGCACAGCACACACAACAATATACAAAGCGGACAATATTTGCGTTTATTAATTTTAATCATGAAGTTGGTTGCTCCAACGAGGAGCACACACGGTGTGCTCCTCGTTGGAGCAACCAACTTCATGACTATTACCGCCGAAGTTCTAAGTTCGTATTAATTTTAACTTCGCACATTAAACTGGAACTAGGCTCAATAACATAAAGGCGAATATGGAAGGAAAGAAGCAAAGGAGGAAAGGAAATAAATTGACAGGAAGACAGAAGAAGAAAATCAGACGTTGTGGACAGGATTAGCATCAGAGCCTGTATGCGGATTGATTTAATACCGTATTTACGCAAGAGCCCACACTTTGTACTCAAGCACTGTCTTCTTTTGTCTTAACAAAATCTTTTTTCTGGGAGATGAGCCTGGAATGGTGTACAAGAAGGTTACTACAAATACACTATCCCAGAACTGGTGATACATCGCCTGATCCACTACATGTAATCGAGCCTGGTTCGCAATTTCAACCTACCGGGTGTACTAGTATTGTATTCAAGCAAGGTCCACCACTATTTGAGCATGGCATGGCCTGCTGCTGCTGTTATAGTCTCAGCAAGACAGTACATGTACAGTGCTGCTCGGTGAAATCCGATGGCAAGAGTCAGGTTTGTGCCTTGCACCATTTCGCAGGTCTAGGGCTGTGCAACACCCGGCCGGCACCCGGCCGGCACGTGCTGGATCGATTCGATCAGATTTCATGGAGCACTACTGTAGTATATAGATATGCATGTAGACCTCTGGTGAGTCTCTACTACCAAGAGTCCATAATCCCCCAGAGTGCGCAACTTCACTGATCAGATCTGGGACGGCGAAATCAGTGTTGCACGTAACCATGCTTATATGCACCACTGATATTTTTGCCAGGCTTGTATGCACGCTTCTACGCGCGACACGCGTAGATCTACCACTGACTACCGGTATGGCGGCAGTTTTACTATGCACCGTACATAGCGCATGCGCTCTCGACCTACCCGATCCGCGCTTGCATAGAAGCCAGGCTTCTACGCGCGACAGGCTTATGTGCATTTGACCCGTTTGATTTTCAGGCTTCTATCAGCGATGTGCTTGTATGCAAACCCGGCTTTTATCCGCGACTTTACGGTACGTCATTTTTTGGGTCAGACTTCCGTAAGCATGGTTTGCATACAAGCCTGATGCAGAAAGCGGCTTATGTGCTTATAAGCCCGGCTTTTATCCGCGACTTTACGGTACATCACGGATTACACCGTCGCACAACCCCATCCCAGGCGGTTGCGCACTCTGTGGGATTATGGACTGTTGCTAGTATACTTACAGTTGGCTTGGGTGCAGTGAGAAGACGAGCTAGCCAGTGCAACCGGTGGGGAAAGATCTCCGTCAACGGCGGACCACGGCTCGTGAAAATTGGTCTCACAAACCTGCACACAGGGAAGCGCAGAACGAAAAGAGAATGTATCAGTTAGCTGTCTGCAAGAGAAAGGCAGAAGTGAAGAGAAAGGAACAGCTGCTACGGGGGAACTGGACCTGTAGAATACTTTGAACTGGACCTGTAGAATACTTTGAACTGGACCTGTAGAATACTTTGTGTTGTACATCACGACATTGTACTACACAGTACACAGCGTCCTCAACGCATTATCTTTAGTTTGATAACAGCGGTTGCATTTAAGCCACCGGCCACCAGCAGCAGCAGAAAACTGACACAGACAGTACATGTACAGCGTCAGGGAATAATTTAACCGGTATCGCATCGCAGTTTGCTATGCAATTCTTCTGAGGTGCGAAGCAATTCCAGAAATGTGTTGCATAAAACCGCGATAATGGTAGATTTTTCACTGTACCCTATGCTGCACAGTGTACATGCCAGGTGTGTCCTTACTCCTTAGGGATGAAATAGATGCACACAAAGCTTCAAAAGTACTCAGCTATGCATCCTGGCACCAGGCTGGGTTTGCAACTAAGGTGTTACAGTGTACTTGTGGTCTGAGCTTGCACTCTGATCAGCTCTCCAGAAGGACAATGTTGTCACTTAAGTAAGTGTTAAAGAAAATTGCTACGCAAAGTTTTCTAATTGCTATTCAAGTTCGATTCTGCGTAGCAAAATTGCTATGCAAAAAATCGAAAGTAAATTATTCCCTGAGCGTTTACAGCGCACACATGCCGATGTGTCTGTACCCACCTTCTGTCCATTCCAGTCCATGCACGGATAACACCCGTTGGTGCGTGGCGGCCTGTCCGCGATGGCATCTGATACAGGTCACTGCGCTGCTGCTCAGAATCCTGCATACCGGGACATACGGGAACACACATACACACACACACACACACACACACACATGATCCTGGTAAACACTGCCATTACGGTCACGTGTCTCCTTGCGGGGCCGACAACATGGAAACTACGAGCGACCATGTTCAATTGGCACGACGAGAGAGCTATCTCTGGCAGCCATGGATTTGGAATCCACGAGTAAAGCGGCAGCACCGACCACAGGCCCAACAGTGGGCCTTGCAACAGGAGAGGGCGAGCCGAACACGCGGCGGCGGACACACACACACACACACTCACGGGGCGCGCGCACACATGATGAAAAGCGAACGCCAAGCAGGCAGCTGGTACACCGGAGGATTGACACGCGCTGTCATGCATACCCAAAAGGCACAACACAAACACATACATAATTAAGTTATGTACTTCGAAGTACATGTTGTGCATCATGCACACAACAAGAGCTCTGACTCAGTGTACGTACGGGTTTCTCCAGCTCGAGGATGTCACGGTCCTGTTCCGGTGTAACATGAATACTACACACAGAGCACAGAATGCACACAGGGCACACAACGCACACAGCAGAATGTGTTGAAGGGAACCTTGCGGGAATATACTCCGCCACGATGCAACATCACTGACAATCTGGTTGTACATTGGTTCTTGAGCAGGCAGGTAGATGAACAGGGTCGTGTTTGGGGCGCGGCAACACATGATGAACTCGGATGTTGAGCCAGTGTAATCATGGATAAAAGGAAGGACACAAATGTTACGAGAGTTCCATTCTGACTTACTCAATCTTGAGGTACTGCAGTGCTATCTGTGTGGTGCCACCATTGACAAAGACAGTGATGAAGACAATCACCAGTGTTGTCGTCAAGAACAACTGGCGCACTTCAGAGCCCGTGTTCCGAATAGCCAGGGCAAACGCAATGGCTCCACGCAAACCTGCACAGTAGGGGAGGACACGCAACCAACCCACCACACAATGCAATACCACACATGAGAATGGATGTAGAACTACGGCATGCACATGTACTGGCAAATGAAATCCAGATCCTCTTTCGGTGTGTGGTGTACACAGAGCAGGTGTGTGGGTGTGCTGGATTTCATTGAGCAGCACTGTACTTTCAGTGCTGACAACAGCACTGAGTCTGTGTAAGCGGCTCATGGAGATCGTGGCAGAGAGGCTCAGCAATGACTTGACACAGCAGTAGAAACTTGTCAATGATTGCAGAGTGCCAGAGGATCTAAGCAGTGTAAGCACACTACTCACAGGGACAACAGCAAAGTAAAAATCCTAAAGTGGATTGAAAAGCTAGTGCTAACACATTATGCTGGTAGCACACTGACAGCAAGCTTCAAGGCATCAAGTGTAACACACAGTTGGATTATCCGCCTCACCAGCAAAGATCATCATAGCTTGGAACTTCCTGGGAATCTTAGTGCGACGCTTGAGGTTGGCAACGAAGGAGAGAGGGATGACGTTGACTATGCGACCAAGGGTAATGGCCAGCTGCAAGGACACAAACACACACACACACACACACACACACACACACATACACACACATACACACACATACACACACACACATACACACACACACATACACACACGCACATACACACACGCACGCACAAACGTACACACATACACACACAGTAAGGCAAACAAACATGACGCTACCTACTACCATGGGTCAGTGACTTCAGTCGTGTGTCCACCACTAGTACTCAGCAGTAGCCCAGACACATACCAACAGACCCCGGTTCTAGCCAATATCTAGCCACAATAATAAACTGTTAAAAAGAGACGAAGGGAAGAACGAAAGATAGAGCAGATTTAGGGAGAGAGAAACACTTCACGAACAACATAGAAACTTACGAAAGAGAAGAGAATGAATCCATAGTTCCACTGGTGGTAGCGGAAGGAGAACAGAGCCAGTCCCATGTACACAAAGACAAAGTTCTCCGCCAGGAAGTTGAGAAGCTCAAAGAACTGCAAAAGATACCGGACACAGTGCATAAACATGTAAAGGCAACAAACAAGCTCAGTTCAAACGCGTCACTTGCAGCTGTTCGATCAACACCTAGGAGCAAGGGAAAGCCAACAAGCAGTCTCCCACTTTATCCTGAACCATTCAAGTGAAAAGGGAATTTTCATACAAGACATTCTTCTTGGTCGCACTTTGGCTTTACTCCAGTAGGGGAAAGAAGGAACAAAGCCCCAGACAAATGGATTTACTGGAGAAAGGTTAGCAAACACACACACACACACACACACACACACACACACACACACACAGAAGACATGCTGGAACCTTACCTCCTTGGTGCGAGTACGCGACTCTGGCGACAAGTTGAAGTAGGTATAGTGAGCCTGTGTGATGCCGCAGAACAGCACCGCCACTATACCTACATTTGTACATACACATACACACACACACACACACGCACAATTCTTACACATTGCCTCAGGAGCTTCAGAGGATGCAGCGGGAACCCGAAAGCAAAAGCAACAAATCGACGACCGGCTGGCAAGCACACCACAAATAAGTGGTCAATGTGTACTTGTGCTGAGAGAAAGGGTCGTGACCAGCACAAAACATAAAGAGGACAGCAGTACCAAAAGCACCAGCAGCTGCACTAGCAACAGCAGCACCACTAGCACCAGCACCACCACCAGCACCACAGCAGCAAAGGCAAGCAGGAACTAGTCACCATCACCACCAGCATGCAACAAATGGACAGACTCAGTGGAGCCATACAGAGAAGAAAATGTCATGAAAACATCTCCACCAAGAGAAGCAGGGCAAAGAAGAACTGGCAAGAAGAGAGAACAACAAATTTATAGTGCAGCCTGCCAGGCGGGCATGAACAAGGCGATACATGTAGCACACACACACAACATAGCGCCGTATCACCATCACAGACAATCGCACAACTTGTGAGAAGTGCCAACACAGACTGCTCAAGGGGAAGCATCACCAGTTGCATTTGAAACACAATCAAATTTGCATAGCAACACCAGAACTGCCAGGCAGAGACCCGCCATTAGCGCCAGCGTTAACAGGCAGGGATCAGTGTCACAAGGCAGGGATTAGCGCTACCAGACAGATCAGCATCACAAGGCAGGGATTAGCACTAGCAGGCAGAGATCAGGATTAACATCTTGAGTAGCACTAACACTGAAGCCCAGGGCAGGGGGGGGGGGGGTGCTTAGCAAGCAACACTAGCACATCTATAGCACTACTATTCAGCGTGGCATTCAGGAACAGAACACTAGCCAATCTTTACCTACACAAGACTGAAAAGTCTATTCACATACATGCTGCACAACAGCACAACAGCACACAGTATACAGCACACAGTATACAGCACACAGTATACAGCACACAGTATACAGCACACAGCACACAGTATACAGCACACATTTTTTTTAGATTAACATCTTGAGTAGCACTAACACTGAAGCCCAGGGCAGGGGGGGGGGGGGGTGCTTAGCAAGCAACACTAGCACATCTATAGCACTACTATTCAGCGTGGCATTCAGGAACAGAACACTAGCCAATCTTTACCTACACAAGACTGAAAAGTCTATTCACATACATGCTGCACAACAGCACAACAGCACACAGTATACAGCACACAGTATACAGCACACAGTATACAGCACACAGTATACAGCACACAGCACACAGTATACAGCACACAGTATACAGCACACAGTATACAGCACACAGTATACAGCACACAGTATACAGCACACAGTATACAGCACACAGTATACAGCACACAGTATACAGCACACAGTATACAGCACACAGTATACAGCACACAGTATACAGCACACAGTATACAGCACACAGTATACAGCACACAGTATACAGCACACAGTATACAGTATACAGCACACAGTATACAGCACACAGTATACAGCACAACAGCACAACAGCACACAGTATACAGTATACAGCACAACAGCACAACAGCACACAGTATATAGTATACAGCACAACAGCACACAGTATACAGTATACAGCACAACAGCACAACAGCACACAGTATACAGTATACAGCACACGCACAGAGAACATCACACACTCCAGTCACGCCTAAACAATCTATCCAAAGTGCTATGAGAGGCCGATAAACCACTACCCCCATACCTGTTAAATCAGCCGCCTCGGCGATCAGGTAGGCAGCATAGGAGACCAGAGCGAAGAAACCACTCTCCATCAGTGGGTACTCCTTGATCTTGGTCAACTTGGTGAAGTGCACGCACACAAATACTCAGTCAAGGATGCATCAACAGGAGGTCATGAGCACAACACACATACATAGCGTACATACAGTAGAGTATATTGCCCCTGGTCTGCACTATTTAGCACCATCATGGAATGAAGACATACAGTAGTTTCATGTCAGTGTCATGTGACTGCAATCGTGTAGAAAGTGTTCACGGCAACATGTGGACAGTGGAAATAACATGGCCGCCATCATGTGACCCACTGGTGCAGGGATTGACTGCAGTTGGAACCCAACATGGCTGACATAATCCCCACTGGTGCAGGGATTGACTGCAGTTGGAGCCCAACATGATAGTCCAGCATGGTCATGAGCTGCATGTGTAACAACCCTACTGCTACAGAAGGAGAGAAAGCCGTGTCACATCTGAGTTTCTATCAGCCACCATTCAAAATGCCGCAGTAGCAACCTCAACCCGTCCCAACAAGGACCAAAGAACAAAAAGCCAGTAGACTATGTCACATATACTCGTAGCTTGGCATGAGGAGGATATCAAAGCACAGATGAGCCCAATCACCACACCAATGGCAAAGGAACCGACAAACACACCGATGAAGATGCCAATAGACTTGAAGACAGCTGCCACTTCAAACGTACTATCATTTGTTGGGGAGTACTCCGAGATAGATCTGAAATAAAAAAATGAAAGAAGGAAAAGCAGGTGTCAAGGTTGGGTTCTGGCCTGACAAGAATAGTCATACAGGTGTTTAGTATACATGACATATGTGTGACATGAGCAATAAAACAAAGGTGCTCAGGTCACAAGCCATGTGAGACCCTGCCACAATGTCAAAATGAATGCGCTTGCCCCACTCCTAATGCTCTCTCTCTCTCTCTCTCTCTCTCTCTCTCTCTCTCTCTCTCTCTCTCTCTCTCTCTCCATGCACGGGCACAGGCACACACACATACATACACACACAGGCACACACACACACACACACACACACCAGCAGCAGCAGTAGCAACAGCAATGACATAATCATCGCCTAACATACCTGAAAAGCACAATGGCTACAGCATCGTTCATGACACTCTCACCAAACACCATGGCAAAGAGATCAACGTCGACATGCAGGTCATGGAAGATAGCAAGTACAGTCACTATACAGCAAGTAACATTAAGAACACATGAAACACACACAAACAAGAATAGGATAAATGCCACGTTCATGCAGGAAGTAAGTTCAACTCGTTCCGCAGACATGGCCGCCCTTCTAGGATCAAAGGTGTGAAAAGACCAGAATTACATGACAGTCACAACGAACACTCTGTTATTGTTGTTGGCATAAGTACACACATGTCCTACAAACACTTTGTGCATGGCAGTGGGAAAAGTGTGCAATGTACATTGCGCACTGATGGTGAACATCTGTGAGTTACTAGTAGGTTGCGAGATCTGACCTGGGTCGGTAGCAGAGATGAGAGCTCCAAACAGCAAGCATTCCACCAGGTTGTCTGTACCAATAGGTAATACTTCCCAGCCAGTCTTGGTGTAACCATACATCATCAGTCTGTATAGGCACAGAGGGAGAGAGAGAGAGAGAGAGAGAGAGAGAGAGAGAGAGAGAGAGAGAGAGAGAGAGAGAGAGAGAGAGAGAGAGAGAGAGAATGAGAGAGAGAGGGAGAGAGAGAGAGAGAGACGCGCGCGCACACACAAACAAACACACACACACACACACACACAGAAAGAGATAGAGCGACAGAGAGCAGTGAACACAGTTGCCAACAAGTAACAGTACTGTTCAGAGTGTTATCCACACCGGCATAAAGACTCTACCTCCTCCCTCCTCGCACTGTTTGTGGAGGCAAACCCTGCCCACCAACCTACACAAAAAACAGCAACCTCATATGGGAAAAACTTACCCAATCACGAAGCAAGATATTGTTGTACCAGCAAAGGCATAGATAAGAATAGCTCCGATGTTCCGGAAGAAGTATTTCTGCATAGATGCACACACAGAAAAGGAAGATCTAAGGTTGGGACTACGTGAATTGTTCTACGGACCTGAACGTGGCCGCTTCTTCTTGCCCAACTTGTTACGCGGAAAACATTCTCACAAAATACTGCTGTTGAATAGACAAACTCTGACCGCCACCAGCAATTAAACGTGTGTGTCTCCGTGTCCGTGTGTGTGTGTGTGTGTGAGGTCACCTCGCAAGGATGGACGACACTAGGTTGCCAAAGCAGATCCTGTTTGTGGAGGGCACCAACACGCGGCCCGCCATGGACCCAAGCGTCGTTGGAGAGATGTGGCAGCTTCAGACCTGCGTGCGACCGGTATCCCGGAGGCGCAATGGTACCAACATGTTCAGGACTGGAGGTACTGACGCGAGCTCAGCCATTAAAAGCCACCAAGCCAGCCCCAACCAAGAGAATATGTCTGGCTCATTCCAACCCTAATTGAGAAATGGACAATGGGTTGCTGTTTCTGATCACATAATCCACCATCAGCGATCATGTTGACAGTTACATTACTAGTACCAGCTGACCTATGACATCATAGGTGACATCATCACTTACACGTCTCATATCATAGCCAGCATAGAAGATGATCGGCGGCAACAGCACAAAGAAGAACGTTTCGGGGTCGAACAGCAGCTGCAGAAAAACAAATACCACATGCACGCACACAAACAATCAATACACCAATATGTCCCAATCCCTTCCACAAGTGAGAAATACAAGTAAGTACAAGAATCTGAGCAAGTACAGTAAAACCTGTAACTAAAGACCACCGTGACCAGCCTGGTACTACAGTAAAACCTGTAACTAAAGACCACCGTGACCAGCCTGGTACTACAGTAAAACCTGTAACTAAAGACCACCGTGACCAGCCTGGTACTACAGTAAAACCTGTAACTAAAGACCACCGTGACCAGCCTGGTACTACAGTAAAACCTGTAACTAAAGACCACCGTGACCAGCCTGGTACTACAGTAAAACCTGTAACTAAAGACCACCGTGACCAGCCTGGTACTACAGTAAAACCTGTAACTAAAGACCACCGTGACCAGCCTGGTACTACAGTAAAACCTGTAACTAAAGACCACCGCGGCCAGCCTGGTACTACAGTAAAACCTGTAACTAAAGACCACCGTGACCAGCCTGGTACTACAGTAAAACCTGTAACTAAAGACCACCGCGACCAGCCTGGTACTACAGTAAAACCTGTAACTAAAGACCACCGCGACCAGCCTGGTACTACAGTAAAACCTGTAACTAAAGACCACCGCGACCAGCCTGGTACTACAGTAAAACCTGTAACTAAAGACCACCGCGACCAGCCTGGTACTACAGTAAAACCTGTAACTAAAGACCACCGCGACCAGCGACCAGCCTGGTACTACAGTAAAACCTGTAAGTAAAGACCACCGTGACTAGCGACCAGCCTGGTACTACAGTAAAACCTGTAACGAAAGACCACCGTGACTAGCGACCAGCCTGGTACTACAGTAAAACCTGTAACGAAAGACTACCGTGACTAGCGACCAGCCTGGTACTACAGTAAAACCTGTAACGAAAGACCACCGTGACTAGCGACCAGCCTGGTACTACAGTAAAACCTGTAAGTAAAGATCACCGTGACTAGCGACCAGCCTGGTACTACAGTAAAACCTGTAACGAAAGACCACCGTGACTAGCGACCAGCCTGGTACTACAGTAAAACCTGTAACGAAAGACCACCGTGACTAGCGACCAGCCTGCTACTACAGTAAAACCTGTAACGAAAGACTACCGTGACTAGCGACCAGCCTGGTACTACAGACCACTTGGCCAGGCACAGACGGTCTCACATTCATGTATGGTTGTGCGGTGCAAACCTCTAACTAAGGACCACCTGCCACTAAAGACCGCATTCTCTGGCCCCACGGGGTGGTCGTTAGTCACAGGTTTTACTGTATTGAGACAGAGATGGTCCACACTCCAGCCGCACTGCATGCACGCTGCACTTGAATCACAACCCCTCCCCATCCATCGCAACCTGTACATGACTCATAAACACCGCCTCGCTGCCGGTGGTGACATTCAATTTTTCTCAGACTTTTCCCGTTTCCGTCTTTCCCTCAAACCAATGAATACTATCACAACAATATAGAATACCAACAGCAGCAGCAGAAGGAGCAGCAGCAGAAGGAGCAGCAGCAGAAGGAGCAGCAGCAGTAGCAGAAGGAGCAGCAGCAACAGCAGGAGCAACAGCAGGAGCAGCAGCAACAGCAGCAGCAACAGCAGCAGCAACAGCAGCAGCAGAAGGAGCAGCAGCAGAAGGAGCAGCAGCAGCAGCAGTAGCAGCAATGTCAGCAGGAAGATTAGCAGCAGCACATAACAGGAACAGCATCATCACTACAGTCAGACCTCGCTTATCACGTCCTCTTTTATCCGGATCCCTCGCCATCCGGAAAAAACCATTGGTTACCAATTTACAGCATATGCCATGCATACATACAGTATGTGTGTTCGATTATCCGGTTCCCTCGCCTATCCGGATATTTTTGTGGAAAACGGATGTGTGCGGTTAAGCGAGGTCTGACTGTACCATCATCACCACTAGCAGCAGTACTACTAGCAGCAGCAGCAGTACCAGCAGTACAGTTATGAGTTATGAAGGCCGTCCTACTTACTGTGCTCTCGTAAGTACCGCCAGACCTATCCGTGAAGAGTCTCTCCGACAGGCTATAGCGATACGTGTTATTGCTATACTCCAGGAAGAGCTTGGTCGGGGCAGACTCATTGTGTGGTGGCTCTCCACAGGTCTGTGTTACCACTGGCTCACCACTGCTGCTGTACTTCACGATTACTCCAACCAGAATACCTAGTGCACAAAGGGCCATACATGAGTAATACATGTGAGTACGCTGGGATCAGGGATGCACTGTTCAACACCACAGACGACCATGCCCAGGTGGCTGTGTGGGGTGTTCGCGGTACAAATTACGTCATTGAGCTTATTGTATGCGTATGAGGTGGTGGCTAGGAGAACTAACCAGTGGAAAGACAACATGCAGGACTGTAGCACAGCGATTCAGGTGGTCCGGCCAGATGGGATACCGGTACTTGACCGGAAATGAATAATTCTTACTGATGAAAACCACATTCACACGAATCGGTCAGTCAACTCTTCGAAATAAGGGCTGGCCATGGCCTGACCGGGTGCTACGGCCCTGCAACGACCCACTGTATGTATGTAGTAGACACACAAAGGATAAATAGTATCTATAATAGACTAGTACTTCAGAAATTGCACTGATGTGAATTATTGAAAGAAACACTACCAATCCACAACCAACTGACACCGATTCGTTTTGACAGTAATTTCTTCTCCAGAATTCATCCGTGACCACTTCTGGTAGATGGGTAGCGAGAATGAATGAAGCAGCTCACAGCTCACTCAAAGCTATGAATAACATAATACCGTAGTGTCTTGTATCAAAGCATGTCTCATATAGAAGCCTGTTTTGAATAAAAGCCTGATTTTCAAGACATACTGTGGGTACACAAGCCTGGTTTTAGTGTTGACATACATAGAAATACCTGTCTTGTATAGAAGCCTGCAAAATCCCCCCCCCCCCCCAAAAAAGTCATAATATTATAGGCCGCGGCTTTTATACACGACTTTACGGTATGCACAGTCATAATATTTGTACATGTACATACATACAGTCAACTTCGCTTATAACGACACTCAGCAGGGCATCAGAAAAGTGTCCTTATTCGCGAAGTGTCGTTATACCCGAAGTCTCATTATATGTATAACAGTTGGATGGGGCTTTGCTCTGGGCATGGAAATTCTGTTGTTATTCGCGAATTGTCGTTATATCCGCAGTCGTTATTAGCGAAGTTGACTGTACATCGTCATTGGAACAGTTTGTTGACTCTAGGAACGTTTTCTTGTGATGGTCGTCAGTTAGAGTACATGACTGAGTGTTAGACAAAGATGATCAGGGTATAAATTATAGTACCATCACTTTCCTCGTCAGCTTGTTATTTAATAATTATTAATCCCTGATCATCTTTGTCCACCACTCAGCGATGTACACTAACTGACGACCATCGCAAGAAAACGTTCTTAGAGTCAACAAACTGTTCCAATGATGATGATGTGTGTATAATGCATGCACATGTACATGTACATGTATATTGACTGCACACAAATATTCAAACACTGTACTTGTAGTTTTATAGAATTATTTCTTTCTCAAGAGCTCTTACTAATACTACTGTCTCAGTAACAGCTTACAAGGGTGAAAAGCTCAACTATGCGATTACCTCGCGTAATATTTACACCTATTTTCCGATACTGCCCGTCGATCATCAAGACCTTACCGTATATGAGTGAAAATCCAGTCTCGTGCAGAATTCGGAAATTCTTCACTTTGAAGAGCCAAATTGTCAGCACAATCAAGATCAGCAGGAACACCATGAGCAGCAGACTCAAGCTGTTTCGCTTGTGTATTTCCTCCACCTCACGAGCATTGTCACCCTCGTACTCAAGAGATTTCTTCAAGGCAGACTCCTCTATGCCCCGAGCTGTGTCCACAATCATCACTGCCGCCAAGAGCAGAAAAACCAGGATTCTCCCCATCACTGAGTATGGTCCAGTAGAATTTACAAACAAATTCTAAAACCACCAATAATCGTTATGGAGAAGAATGTGCTTGAAGTGTACGGAGCAGCCCTTGAAGCAACAGAGCACTACGAATCAAACCTGGAGCTAAGTAGTTGGAGAAGAAAACTAAACAGCCAACAGCTTCCTCGCAGATGCTCAGGACTGCTGTTGCAAGAGTCCGTGAACTCGTAGTCGGAGATTTCTTCGACGAAAAATGCCCGGCCTCCAGATATCTTGCCTTGTGCCTGACGTATACCATGGTATACCAGTATACCAGGTATACGCGTAGCCCATGCATGGTAGATCTACATGCTTGCATGCAGCTGCATCAGGCATGTATCAGATCATGCATGCACACATATCTACTTCTTTTTTTTTGTAGCTCTCTGCGCTGCACAGTCTGTGCACACGTACACAGTCACTGCATTCGATCCTGCACGCGCACGCACTGTCGATCCTGCACGCGCGCTCGATCGATCGTGCGACGCGACACGGAAATAATTAAAAAATCTATCCGAAAAGCTCAGATTTCGCATTTTTTCAAAATACATGACTTTTTTAGGACTTCGAACAGCTGTGATCAGTGACCATAGCGACTATACGTCTTGGCAACGCTTTGATCACAAGCAGGGAGTAGTAAAATATGTATTTAATTTTACTACTCCCTGATCACAAGCCTGCGAAAATCAAGAGTACATGAAAACCCCAACCGGTTTTCATGTACTCTTGCGAAAATGTATTTTGCCTGCATATCACCAAGATAATTATGGCCGACATGGCCTGTCAGTCAGACTGTGCCTGTGTGTGCGTGTGTGAAGAGTGAAAAAAGACCGTCACTTCGCCTTTTGGCAAGTAAGTAATTAGTTGTGCACTGTATAGTATTTCTGTCATTCAATCAAGCGCGCCTGGCCTGTGACATTATTGGGCAGATTGCTGCAGAAGCAACAAAGTAACAAAACATTGTACACGTGTGCAGTAGCGGTAATCTCCAGTAACACCCTGTACTGCTGTAGTAGTGTTGACCGTGGTTGACAGTTGTAGTAAATAGTACACTAACGCTAACAAACAGTGCGAGTCTAGCGACCAGGTCCAGGTCCAGGGTGCACCGGGGACACCGGCTCGATTCTCTACTGTACTACTAAAATGTCATGTACAGTAGATGATGTACTGAGTAGTTGATCGAGGGATACGCCAAATCCCTCTAAGGCTAAACTACCAGTAAGATAGTCGCTAGTGTCATAGTGGAATCTTTCAAAACGGGCTTGGTCTTTATTATTACCTGTGCAGAGTCTGCACCATACCAGGGAGTCGTACCTCCGCCTCTGGTGCAGACTGACGCGGTGTCGGAGAGCGAGGGCTGACCTATGATGAATTGAAGATGGCCAGTTTGCAGACGTGCCCATGTGCATGGCAAGATCAAGGCGAGGCGGCTCTGCACAATCATGTATCTGAGTGGTAACAGGTGGCTGCGTGTACTTGACTTGGTTGCAGTCAGAGCCCCCACTGGTAAGAAAACGTCAACGTCTGTCCGGGTTTGAAAACCCCTTCCTCATTCTGTGTTTCCCAATTTAGACTTCCTTGTGAATACTACATGTGCATCCGTGAGCACTTGAGGCCGCTATTGACAATTAGCCTGGTAGAGTAAGCAAATAATCTCAGCTTGGTGTCACACGGCTGCACGTCAGCTCACACGGCACAAGACTGTACATTGCAGGATTTGCAGGCCAGCACAATAATGGATAAGCCACCAGGAAGACCCACTGGCACGCTACCTGCACCTGGACAGGGGACAAACAATCGTGAACAGCGCAATGCAGCAGCGGCCGCAGTACCACCAAGTGACCTGCCGTTGTTACGCCGACCCAGAGGCACGCGCAAGAAAGAGCCCGCGCTAGCGAGTACAGGCGATGCCGGTAGCAATGCCAATAGCACCGCAGGCAGCCACTCGGGGAGCGGCACGTCGTCCATATTTGGACTGCCACATGCAGATCAGCAACAGCAAGCTGTGCAGGACGGTGGACGACTGCTGGCTAATATGAAAGCAGGTCATACTGCACCACAGCTGCATTCTGTCGATGACCTCACTGCGTACAGTGGTGATGTCATGGTTCAACCACGATACTATCCACAGCGACCCAAACATGCCGGGCCGAAGGCGTTTCCCCGACGACCACCAAAGCAAGCGAGAGACACGCTGGTGTCGATGACTGGGCCGCTATACCAGCAACAACAACAACAACTACCCCAACCCTCGCTGGCTGCACCAAGAATTGAAGAGTCGACGCATGCTCCGTTCCCAGCTTTGGCGCACGATAGTGCTGTGGACGTCGACACTGCTGTAGCCGCTAGCGATCACTATAGCGACCATTACGGGAATGAGACCGTGGGAGATGCGGCCCTACAGGCTCACAACACCGCAGTGACTCTGCAAGATGATGACAGGACGTATCAAGCGGACACAATCACCGACAACAGGACGACACACGGGGATGCGACTGTGGCTGGTGGCGGTGGCGGTGGAGGCATCAGAGGAGCAGTGGCAGCACATGCCAAACCACTCGTCAAGACCTACCTGGACAAACCAATGCTATCAACGCACAACTATCGGCATATGCCCGGCTGGAAGGGACCGGCTGGGCAAACGGAACGCAACACCACCCTTCACTCACTGGTTGTACAAGGTAAGAACTAAGATGTACCAGGACCGTCTAGAATATACATGCACATGTGCTTGCCACAGCTTCTAATGATGGCTCATAGAACATTGTTTGAAGTCTTGCACGACATGCCGGTAGATGCTGCGGATAGCTAGAACATTTCCAAACTGTAGTATAAACAGAACTTCGTAAGGACGTTTGCATTGGTTGAGAGTTTGAAATGATTGAAGTTCACACAGCCATTATGGCCATGGCCCTACTTTCTATGCACATGTTCTCGTTCTGCATATTTTCCATTCGTGCTCAGCATTTGATGCAGAGGTTGTTCCCAGAGTCCCGGCACACATCTTGAAGCTTGGTAAGTGCACCAGCACCAGCTAGCCACATGCATAGCTTCATCGCCGATCACTGTTGCTAAACAAGCTCAATAAGAAACTCTGTACATACTGCACTGTAAACATGTACTGTACGTTGAGAAATTGTCAGCCCCGCCAAACTTGCTGGGCCTGGCTGCAGACTCGGCTCTCTCCGTCTCCGGGGCTGCTTTCATCTGAGTTCAGTATAGTACTGCTGATTCAGTTTTAACCTTCACCGCCTGCACAGCCATCAGTGCATGTGAGCTATTCACACAGTGCCGCGCCATGTAGAAGTAGTAGTACATTGAATGTGGAATTCCAGCAGCCATGTTCTATTGCGGACATTCGACCGAATCAGCTGCAAAAAGAAGAAAGTTACACCCGCAGCACATTTTCCAATTTAGATCTCTTTTAGTTGTCAACTGCTTGTCTGCCAGTGCGTGTAAAGTAAAGTTCACACGTCCACGTTACCACCGGCCATACTAGATAGGATTGTGTTTCATAACTACCTGCCGCCAGGAAGTCACGGTGCACGTATACTTGAGGAGAGTTTTTTTAAATCTTGTCCCCGGTGACCAATAATCCAATGTAACGCCACACCAGCATGTTTCTTGTCACGCACTGTTTAATCTTGTTCTCCTTCAGAAACTGAAATGGACATTTTGGAAGCAGCACGTCAAGCTGAAGAAAAACTGAAATTGTCAGAACAAGCAGACGCTGGAGTGGAACTAACGTTAGGAGAGGAGAACTGGGAACGACTTGCACTGCATGAAATGGAGGACACGAGTGACGCTGCAAGGTAGGTTGTGTACTTGTGTTACAGTGCCACTGACACAGCTACACACGTGTATGTTCTGAGAAGATCAGCTTCTGACGCTCTATCTACGCCTCCACTACACACACACACACACACCGTGACACACACACACACACACACACACCATTGGACGCCCATCGCCGGATCGGAGGCGATGATAGCGATGCTACAGCAGAAGCCATAGCAGCTTGTGCTGGGATTGCACCATTCAACAGCTTGCAAGGCTGAAGAATTGACCGCCACTATTCAGCCTGGTCTACACCACACAGCTATGAAGTTTTTCTGGCCAGGCAATCCCTACTTCTTGGTCTTTTTCATATTTTTTCCGCACACATCACACCACATACTCCAGCATGCACTGGCTGTTGGTAACCACCTAGGAGAATGAAAGAAAAGTCAGGAGGAGTCTGAGAAAGAGAAGAAAGACGTGTGTGACCATAATCGTCGGGAATCGGACCCGCAACCTCTCGATTGAAAATCGCTGCACATACCACTGCACCATATGGGAGACACACACACACACACACACACACCACACACACACACACATCACACACACACACACACACACACACACACACACACACCACACACACACACACACACACCATTGGACCATTGGACGCCCATCGCCGAAGGCGATGATAGCGATGCTACAGCAGAAGCCATAGCAGCTTGTGCTGGGATTGCACCATTCAACAACTTGCAAGGCTGAAGAATTGACCGCCACCATTCAGCCACACACACACGCACACGCACGCACACACACACACACACACACACATACACACACACACACACAAACGCAACATGCCTGTTGGACTATACACATGGTGATTGACAACACATGTGGAGTTATGAGTGGTTGCTTTGCCATGTTTTCTCAAGCTGTTGACCACACACGAATCGAGTCCTGTATCAATGTGCCCTATTGGACGTGCCTGACCAATGTCCACCCCATCCTGTTTACTCAACATTTGCTTCCCCTGACTGTGTATCATGTCTAGATCTGCTGTTATGACAAGCAAGAAAGCAGTGTTTGCTGATGGAGAAACCCAGTATTTCTGCGGACAGTCACGAAGCCGATCACCATTCAGTAAGCGGGTGTAGCAGTTGCAGAATTGACAAGAATCATCGACTCAAATTGTGTACAGACGTGATTTTATCCGGGGGGGGGGGGGGGTACCATGCTCTGCAGGTGGGTGCTTCACTTCATGACCTTTGAGATCATTTGAGTTGAAACTGAATCATGTTTTACATGTACATGTATGTCAGGCCCGCCGGAAGGCGGGCGACGTTGGTCCGGTTTGAGGGGTCCGGGGCATCTCCCACGCGCATTTTTGGAAAAATCCGGTCAGAAATAGCAGAATTTGGCCTTTCACAAGTTTTCAGAGCCAAGTACAGGGAATAATTTTACATGGATATCGATGTACGAATGTTTGCATGATCGATAATACATGTACATGTACCCAGAATTTTTTCTCAGTCCCCAGTTTTAGATGAATCCCAGGGGGTGACCTAAGCTAGAGTTGGTCCGGTGACAACCGGACCAAGCGGACCGGTTCCGGCGGCCCTGTATGTAGCATCACGCTTTTTAGTTTGACAGCATATTACAAGGCGGTGGAACACCGTATTCGGAAACAGTGTCCTTTACTGCAACCATCCACGGTTGGTAGAGCCCCGGTCTTTCAACCATTTGAACCGTATGGGTGTTAGGCCCGGTCATGTATGTAGTATGTACATGTACAACATGCAGTGGTGCTGATACTGCATGGATGCAATCTCCCTGTTCGAATTCCTACAGTGGATCCGCACAACAAGAACACCTTGTCTCCAGCTCAAGCAGCCGTTGTCCACAGTAGACTGCGCGGTGGCAAGCGACTCAACCTCAAGGTGAGCACAGCGGAGAAAAGAGAATGTTTGCTCCTTTTTTGGAATGGTATTCGGTTTCTTCAGCAAGCAACAAGCGTAACAATAACCAACAAGACAACTCACTTTCTGAAAGTAACGCCATTTCTGTATGAAACTGTATGTGTCCATGTGCCTCTTTCCGTTTTGTTTTTTTTACATTTCTGTAATACCTGTAATACCGCAATGACACAAAGTGCTTACGTCTTGTTCGTCTGCAGGCCTTTTTCATCGACAACGACGGATTACCCAACCTGAACATGGTGATGAATGTTACCTATGTGAACCTGTCGTTCAACTGCCTACAGGTGAGGCACTGTTCGTAATACCGTCCGGCATTCAGCACTACTACCAAGAGTGCATAACCCCAAGAGTGTGCAACTGCCTGCACAACCTCTATGCTGTGCTGCGACGGCAGACGCATCACTTGACATGGTTCAAAAGGTTATGCTGGCAAACAGTGCAAAGTGACCACAAGAGAGTTGTACCCAAAGCTGGGCTGCATACAACCCTGTATCTATCATGCACAGAGTGCAAATAATGTGTACGGGTTCATCACGTGATGTGAAGTTCTGCCGTCGCAGACCCCATAGCTGGCGTTGCACACTCTTGGGGGTTATGTACTCTTGCTAACACCCATAGCTGTATTAGCCGCATCAGTGCTGCACACTGTGATTACTCTGATTGGGGTAGCAAAACTTGACATGCGCAGGATTGTTGACTGCGGCACAAGACTAAGCATGTAACTACTTCCATGATAGATTGCGTGACTGCATTATTTTTTAATATTAATTTGATTGATCTTCACTGGTTTGAGGGAAATACACATTTTATTGATCTATTGATCTAAAGTTTCTAAAGCTTCCCATTCTTCTTGGTACATCGTGTCACATGGCTACCAGCATGCTTAACCAGCTATCCCCGGAAGGAAATCAAATTAGAATAGTATAACAATCATCGACACCATTGAATCACTTCGAAATATGCGTGCTAAGCAACAGACAAAGACTGTGCCCGACTCTTGATGACTTGAGTGTGTGTGTGTGTGTGTGTGTGTGTGTGTGTGTGTGTGTGCGTGTGCGTGTGTGTGTGTGTGTGTGTGTGTGTGTGTGTGTGTGTTCTGCTGTACTATGCTCTGCAGGCTTTCCCCACGGCTCTCTACTCAGCCTCCAAGCTACAAGTTCTTACACTGAGAAACAACCCCATCTGCTTTCTGCCAGAGGGTAATAATGAGTAATCTTGTGCATTATACAGTCAGACCTTGCTTAACCGCACACATCCGTTTTCCAGAAAAATATCCGGATAGGCGAGGGAACCGGAAAATCAAACACACATACTGTACGTATGCATGCATGACATATGCTGTAAATCGGTAACCAACGAGGGATGGCGATGGCGAGGGATCCGGATAAAAGAGGACAGGATAAGCGAGGTCTGACTGTACTCTGTCCACTTCATGTGCACTTTCCAAAGCAATTCAAGGTACCAGAATTTGACCCCAGTGTCCTAGCTACTACAGGCTTGTCAACGTGTACATGTGAACTTCCGTCAACGGCTGGCTGGGTCACGTGTGGTCAGCTCTTGGTGTGTATTTTAATCATGGCGCACTACAAGCGTACAGCGCTGCAAGGTGAAATCCAGCCCTTTCATGTCAGTGTTACGAACTAGAACTAGTTCGAACTGTGCATGTCTCATGCACACCACCATAAGCATGGCAAAAATAGTGCAAATCAGGGAGTATTAAGCATGGAAGTTAACTTTCATGGGTTCAAAGTTCGTAGGTTCAAAGTTCATAGGTTCAAAGCTCATAGGTTCAAAGTGCGTAGGTTCACCAGTTCATAAGTGATCATAGAAATGCAAAACCTGTCACTACAATTGTAAAGGTCTCAGAGGCGTGCACAATTGTACCACCCACAACTGAGCTAGGTCAACGACATGGCACTGCAACTAAAATGTAATGCAGCTATATGATCCCCCAGATAGGCGTTAGCCTTTGGGTAATCCTGAAATAAAGATTATCATTATATACGGGTATGTGTGCTCAGTTCTCGGGGTCAGACATCAAGGCAAGCACCACTTTACTTGCATACATGGGCTGCTAGGTCACACTGTTGGCTGTAAACTCCGGAAAACAGTTCTGAAAAGGTGCACCTAAAGCAAGGTGGATGGAAAGACTTGAAGTTTTTCATCTTTGCACGATTCCTTCCTTGTGTGTTCTTGTCCATGCGTAGTAGGCGTCATCAGACCCCGTATTTGTTGCTTTGTTTCCAATTATTGCTGAACAGATTTCCACCGAATGGAGTCCCTGGTCTCTTTCTCCATTTCGTTCTGTATGTTGGAACGACTGCCCGAAACGTGAGTACAAGATACTGTAATAAACTTTGGAAGAAAGTCGCCCAGTTTCTCGCTGTGCCCATTACATGTGTGTGGTATGGAGGTTTCCAAACATTTCGTTGTACACAGCACAAGCACCGAGTGAGTGTTTCTGTTACAATTCTCTCTCTTTCTCTCTCTCTCTCTCTCTCTCTCTCTCTCTCTCTCTCTCTCCTTTGCACCTCGGCCTGAGTAGGATTGGGGAGTTGAAGCGCCTGCGAGACCTGGACGTGTCGCACAACATGATCAAGTTCCTCCCGGAGAGCCTCGGCAATGCTCGGTATGTGTAGTGCATGCAGTAGCCCACAGCTGGAACAACTATTTGACTCTAGTGGGAAGGTGTGTGTTTAACAGACACAAGACACTATCTGTTTAACATTAATTTTTTCAGGATGGGAAAGTGTTCTGTTCCCGACATAGCCTCTATGACTGGTCCAAAATATGTAAACAACGCCGTCGGAATTCTACTGTGCAGAACCTACATGTACATGCAGGGCACTCTGGTTTCTGTACTCCTGGCTGTACACGTATGCGTACTGTAAGACCAGATATTTTAATGTCAAGTAAAGTTAACGATCTCCTGATTTTTGGGGGTTAGCGAGGTGAAATTCTGACGAATTCTGTCTCAAAACCGGCAAATGACTGTACATGTACATATCGTTTTGCACATAACGACTTCAAATGTTAACGAATTTTTTTAAATTCGTTAAATCGTTTAGCATTAAATGTTTGTTAGTACTGGTCTTACAGTAGATGACTCGAGTGTATCTCTCAATATGATTGTATTGTGTGCATACATACAGTGGCCTGCGATCATTGTACATAGTGGGCAATGAGCTGGTGTGCATGCCTCTCAGTACACTGGCTCTGCCACTGAAAGACTTCCGCTGCAGTGAGAACTTCTTCCACCCTCTGTTCTGGCCGGAGAGCGAGCACAACCAGGCGCAGGTAATGATCAGCACCATGTGATAGAGTCACGGTGACGACTATGTACAGTGTGGCAGTGTGGTAGCGGGAAAGTGTGTTGTGTGTGGCAGTGTGGCATTGTGTGACTATGCACAGTGCGTGTTGTGTGTGGCAGTGTGGCATTGTGTGACTATGCACAGTGTGACAGTGTGTGTTGTGTGTGGCAGTGTGGCATTGTGTGACTATGCACAGTGTGGCAGCGGGACAGTGTGTTGTGCGTGGCAGTGTGGCATTGTGTGACTATGCACAGTGTGACAGTGTGTGGCAGTGTATGGCAGTGTGGCATTGTGTGACTATGCACAGTGTGACAGTGTGTGGCAGTGTGTGGCAGTGTGGCATTGTGTGACTATGCACAGTGTGACAGTGTGTTGTGTGTGACAGTGTGGCATTGTGTGACTATGCACAGTGTGACAGTGTGTGGCAGTGTGTGGCAGTGGGACAGCCGTGATGACAGTGTGTGTTGTGTGTGGCAGTGGGACAGCCGTGATGACAGTGGGGCAATGTCAGCCTGCTATTTTTTAAAAGGTGCACAGGAGATTCTTGGCATCCATGTGCCACTATGGATCTTTCTACTTTTGTTACATTGTATGTTCGACCTAACTCTCTTGATGAGGGCAACGATAAATTACACTCATACGTATGTGATAGCTAGCCTTCTATTTTTAGTGTCTATGCCAGTTCACACAAGAGCTATTCTAACACTCTGGTTGACAAGTGTCTTTGGGAAGTGTACTCCCGGGACCGGGGTGTATCGGTCTCCTTGACCTGTGAGCTCTCAATTATTTTAAATGTGTATTTGCCTTTTCTGACACTCTGATTGACAAGTGTCTTTGGGAAATGTACTCCCTGGTGTATCAATCGCTGTGGCCTGCGAACTGTGACCCATGCATCTTGTATCTCTTTTCCTTCCTTGCCTATGCAGGAGCTCAGCGTTCTCTGTCGAATCGTCGCCCGTCGTAACAGGATTCCACTGAAGGAAAGTGCTTCTGACGCCGCAGACCAGCAAGAGCGGTAAGTCAAGCTTTGCAGCAATCCACAACCGGCTTTCCTGCACCAAGTGTACATAGCCATGATTACCCCCGAGAGTGTGCAACTGCCTGCATGCACAGTCTAGACCTACCAGTGAGCAAAGTAACAGAATATTATGGTATGGTATTTTACTTCCTAAAATATCTGCAGCCTTTATCTACAGCCTATTTCTACAGCCTGGCTATATCTAGTTCTGTGACAGCAAGGTGTTCGTATCACATGACCTGGTTTTCAGACTCATTCAGCTAAGGTATACACGCTTTTCCCGGCCCGGTCAGGGCTGCAATCAAATCTAATCTTCAGTTTCTTACCACCCGACCATTCAGTGCGCCTGACATTCTGGAACCGGCCTGTCCTCTCTCTAACCTGCTGCTGCTGTGTGTGTGTGTGTGTGTGTTTTGCGCATGCATAAACAGGTGCATCAAATGTCATATCTGTGACCTAGATCTACTGGACGGTGGGCTGCGGTTGATTAGAGCACCGCGTCCTAGAACTCATAACGTCAGTAAGCTGCCGTTCCTCTACCGTGTCTGCTCCACGCACTGCTACACTGAGCTGGATGGGGACCTTCAGAGCCGGTCTACCTTCAGCAAATAAAACAGGCATGTACATACGCGACATGCATACTGTGACGATGAATGCACATTCCTACAACGGATGAGATTGCAGCCGGACAACCTCGAACCCGTAGCTGAAATTATCCATCCATCGCTTTCTAGATTCTTCCTTGAGCCCAGCTGAGCAGATCTTGTACCTTGAAACATACTGTGCTGCCTGCTTGAGCTGTTATTGACACGGCTAACTGAAGCATCGCCATCTTTGTCGCAACCGAATCCAACTACTGTTGCTTGACGTCTGCTGTGTGCTAGTCTTAGCATTGCTGATTATTTGTACACTGAGTCTGTGCTCGTGCAACTTGAAAGTGATTTTATGATTTTGTTGAATGCGGAGACAACCACCTTCATCACCGGTAGTGTATCAAGATCAATCTTGGTTTCAGCGTGATTATGAACGAGGAGTACTATGCTTCGGATCAATAGGTAACATGTTGGTACGCAGCTGAAATTGCACTACCTGCGGTCAGGGGCATTGTCGAATGCAGAACAGTAAACACCAGTGTAACATGCTACAAGTGCGAGTATGCCGTGAAAGGAGAGCGTAGTGCAAACAGGATATTATGGCTATACGATCTGCATGCATGTTTTTGCAATAAAGCCTATCAAAGCATTGGCTAAGCCCCTGAATCTTGCTACCTGTCTATGGTACACACCTCCCGCTGCTTGAAAACCGACCGACGTTGCCACGTGCAGACTCTGTCAGGCTGTACCGGATTTCAGAATGTGAGCAGGCCAGTAGGTACGGCTTGGCAAGGTAACGTGAACTGGTACGGCGGGTGATCTTTGTACACGTGCTCCGTGAACGAGAAAATTCACCCAACGCAACAGTTACTGTGTGTGTGTGTAGGAGCAAGATTGTAGTGTTACTGGTTACCGGTAGTATGTGATATCGCTACAGAGCGGACACTCCATCAGCAACTACACGTACATGTACCGTCATTTACTTGAGTCAACAAGCAAGCAAGACGGGTGAACAGGTGGGTGAATGCATCACAGAGTCACAGAGAAAAACCTAAAGTTAGAGAAACAAGTGAGTTAGTTACCTGGTAACAAAACAAAACAAAAAAACAAGTCCTGTTCTCCGATACAGAATTGACAACAAGACAGTATAGATCACAGAAAGCAGCTACACACACAGCAGGGCACTCTGAGAGACATACAGTAGCTAGCAGAGGCCTAGGCCGTACAGTAGCATACCGACCGATCAAAGCCACCTAGAAATATAGACATAAAAGCAAAATAATTGTGCACTGAAGCAACATAGTGCCTCAGATCACTACACATAATAAGTATGTCATGTAAAAATTATTCGAAAAAATATATTGGAGTGCGAAGATGGAGTGCGTATCATGGTGAAACTAGAGAAGACGAGGCTTCCACTATTTGGCAACCTTCACTATCTGGCTATCTGACACACCTAGAGGCAGAATAGGTGCTACGCATACGCAGGACTAAGAGTAGGGAAAGTGTCAATAGTTGTCAACTTCAGTAATAGCAAGCAAAGCTATGTGAGATGGGCTTCCTGTGAGGCCGTGATACAAGAGTACTAACACAAGTCCCTAGCTGCATGGCATGGTGCAAGGAGTGCTAGCCTTGCGCACAGGATGCTGCCGTCATAGACACCATCGAGCATTGTGATAGGAGCACTACTAGCACACATGCATCCTCCAACAAGATAGTGGGCACACAGACACAAGCGCACTGGCGGTGCTCAAAGCATGGCCGTTGGTGAGACTCTCGACCGACCGGTGCCCGGACACGGAGCCCAGCACCGGATACAGCACTACACACACACACACTACACGCAAGCCTGCTGTCAAAACCACCAAAGGCGTATACAAGTTGTGATGAGTAAGGACGAGTAACGGCCGCCAGTCTAAGATACTAAACCAGCATCTCTAGCCATCAAGTAGAAATGACCTTGACTGGACAGCAGTTGGTCTGGGTTACCATACTCAATGATTTTGCCCATGTCCAGAACCATCACCCTGTTCAAGCGGGACACAAGAAACAGCAAGCAACCAACACACATCGTTGACTTCAATAAATCTTCAAAGTCAATGTGTATCCATCCCACTATCTGTCAGGCTGATGCCCCCCCCCCCCGATCATCCATGAGATGTCTCCATTTCACAAAGTCGCTATGATAATCTTTGCATTCGCCTGTTAGCACAATCCCACTAAAGCACTGCTGTCGAAATACCACCACTAGAATGTATCTGCGACCCCCCCCCCCACACACACACGGGCTATCCATCCCTATATCTTACCTATCATAATCCATGATGGTGTTGAGGCGATGAGCGATGGTGAACACAGTCGAGTGTGCAAACTCGGTGCGGATAGTCCGTTGAATCAGGTCATCAGTTTCCAGGTCCACTGCAGCTGTGGCCTCGTCCAACACTAGGATTTTGGTCTTGCGCAGCAGGGCCCTGGCCAAGCAGACAAGCTGGCGCTGCCCAACACTAGAACACAGTCACAGGAAATACATGTTCATTAGTTGAGGGGAATGGAAGGGGAAATGTCGGAAAAAGGGACTCTCAGCACCAGGACTCAAACCAGGAACCTTCGCTTGAGGCCAGTGATGCTCTAGCCATTGAGCTATGGTCTAGTATGGAGTAGGTGTCACCCGAGCAGAAACCAACGATTAAAACCATTCAACACTTTCATCAGATTTCAGAAAATAAACACCGTAATTGAAGCAGGTCGCAGCCATCAAATGTTCAATGTACTGTATCAGCATAGGTGACTGTTGTGTTGTCAAGAAGAACCCTTTATTTCCCATCCAAAGCAGTGTATAAAGAAGCACATGACTTGAAGGTGTGTGCGTGCGTGCATAATGAGGGCTGGTGCGTACGGGATGTGTGCACAGTGCAGACTACTGTACTACTACAACATTGACAACAATGCTGATGACAACATTGACAACAATGCTGATGAGCATGTCTGTCAAAACATCACCATGTCAGTAACAAGCCACATCGCTAAAAGGGTTGTAAAGGACATGATGTACTGGCGGCATCAAGGTTTCAGCACTTCAAGATCACCCGTGTCCCGAAGGCAAGCTTCCGTTCACTTGCATGCTACCAACACCGACAGTGCAGTACAGACAGCCAGCACACGCACAGTTGCAAACACACCTGCCCAGTGTGCAACACACATAGCCACCGATACACCTGAACCTGACCAAAGTACACAGCACAGTTGCACATTCACCCGGCCAATGCATTGCCTACAGGTACAAGCTTGACAAGGGATATACACGCTCGTTGATGGCTGAACAAGCCCCTAGAAGTCCCCCTGGAGAAGACCCTACTACAGTTCACGTGATCATGCGTGACACGAACAAGACATTCACGTTGAAGAACATGCGGGTACTGCAGCCATGCAGGGTCAACTCCAACTATGCAGGGTCAACTCCAACTTCAAAGACATGTTGGTTGTAACCCACACACAACAACAACAGAAGTAACAGCGCACAGCGCACAGCGCAGGATACAATGCATTAGCTTAGTTGAGATGCAAAGAAGATCATGTACCTCTCAAAACTTACCTGAGATTTTCACCTCCCTCAGCAATGTCAAACTGCAGGCCGTCGTCGTTGCCTCGTGCAAACGACTCCAAATGTGCAAGACGGAGTGAATTCCACACTTCAACATCGCTGTGCTCCTCAAACGGATCCAGGTTGAAGCGGAGTGTTCCAGAAAACAGCACGGGATCCTGTGCAGTGGAGGAAACCCGGACAGGGCACAACACAGCAAGCTGACGTTAAGAATACTCATGAGCTAGAACGACATTCGCCTGCATCAAGTATCGCATCATGCAATGTGCTGCTGATAATGCTATGCAGCTTGAAGATACGCTGACGGCAAGCAAGTATCGCATCATGCAATGTGCTGCTGATAATGCTATGCAGCTTGAAGATACGCTGATGGCAAGCAAGTATCGCATCATGCAATGTGCTGCTGATAATGCTATGCAGCTTGAAGATACGCTGACGGCAAGCAAGTATCGCATCATGCAATGTGCTGCTGATAATGCTATGCAGCTTGAAGATACGCTGACGGCAAGCAAGGAGAAATACATACTGATGCCTAGCTGACCAGGCGGCCAGCCATTACCGGACACACATATGCACAGCATGGTAGACAATAGCAACCATCCATTGCTTGAGTCCTGTTGTGTTAGTGCTGAGTGCATGCATGGTCAAGCCCAGTCTACCCAACAGCAGCAATCAACTCCCACTGAATGAGTTGCCATATCCAGAAGACTGGAAACCAGACTCTAGTCTTAGTCAAGAATGCTAGCAGAGAGATAGCTATGCATCTACTGTGCAATGATGATCATGCAGAGCAGTCACCCCGGTAGAAAACGGCTACACTGTTACCTGTGGTATGATGGTGAGGCGGGAGCGCAGATCCTCCAGGCCAAGTCGCGCAATGTCAATACCGTCGATAATGATAGATCCACTAGCCGCTTCGATCAGACGGAACAACGCCAGAGTGAGAGAGGACTTGCCTGCACCAGTGCGCCCGACGATTCCAACCTGAAGAGCAGGGGAAGCAACACAGACAAATACAAGTTGATAAGGATGTATTTGCGTCAGCATTCGACTCGAGTGATAGGTAGGTACGGTAGGAGTGTTTACAATGCAGGCAAATGTACTTGTATGTAGTGAGTGGGGAACACAGGTCTGCAATGCACCTGGTACAATGTGCACCCTCTGCGACATACCAATAATAGATTATTGTACTCAGGAGCTTTGGCAAAGTGTCGTTGAGAGGCCCGTGCAGTGTTGCTACAGAAGACTGAATGCTACGGCCCGTGGAGTGTTGCTACAGAAGACTGAATGCTACGGCCCGTGGAGTGTTGCTACGGAAGACTGAATGCTACGGCCCGTGGAGTGTTGCTACGGAAGACTGAATGCTACGGCCCGTGGAGTGTTGCTACGGAAGACTGAATGCTACGGCCCGTGGAGTGTTGCTACGGAAGACTGAATGCTACGGCCCGTGGAGTGTTGCTACGGAAGACTGAATGCTACGGCCCGTGGAGTGTTGCTACGGAAGACTGAATGCTACGGCCCGTGGAGTGTTGCTACGGAAGACTGAATGCTACGGCCCGTGGAGTGTTGCTACGGAAGACTGAATGCTACACGAACATCACTGTTGTGTTTGGCCTGAAAGCCATGCAAGGGTCCATTGCGGGACAAGACAAGGACTGATTTATGTACAGAGCATGCACATTATAATACAGATGAGAGAGAGACAATACGGAGAGAGACAATACGGAGAGAGACAATGCGGAGAGAAACAATGCGGAGGGAGAGACAATGCTGTGACCAACACTATACACTACTACAATGACCACACGACAGCGGTGATTAAGCCTACCTTCTCCCCACCCTTGATGTTAGCTGAGATGCCCTTGACGACAAGGTCGAGGCCGGGACGATACCGTGTCTTGTAGCGATCAAACACCACCTCACCATTCATTGGCCATCTGGGATCAGGACGATTGCCCTCCACAACATCAGGTGCCTGGAAATGTTAGAGCAGCATTTTTACAAACAAGTCAAGCCAGCAGAAAGGAGGGAAAGAGATGGCAGCGGTGTGCATCAACTCTGCAACAGGGTTTAGGTTGGATATAGTGCAAATGACTCATGCAACAATAGCTACTGCAGCATTGATGGCACTGCAGCAGCACAATAATTAACTTCACAGCTACATAGCGGTAACGCTCTGGGGTGGACACAAGCGAAGCTTTCAGATTAAGCTCTCAAGCTGTACATGGAACACTCGGAGCAAGAAAAAAAACCCTGGATTGCATGTCCCAACCTGCGCTAGGTGCAACTTACCACACAGACACATGTATACCCCCATTACACACACCTACACATCACACGCACACACCAGCGTGCAGTTGCTGCCGTTAGACGGGTACAATGCACAAGTGTACAAATGCTGTATACTAGTGAGAGAGCTAACCTCGGTGGGAGTTTCGCTGTATTCCTTGACTCGCTCGACCGACACCAGGTTGGTCTCCAATTCACTGCTCATGCGTACCATCCAGTTCAGTGCTGCTGTGATCTGCATGGCGCAACCAAACGGCAGCAGCAGCAGCAACAACAACAACGGCAACAACCACGTGAGAATAAATATGTGAAACCATGAGAATAACGAATCAAAATGACGTCAACAGCAGCACCAGCAGCAGCACCAGCAGCAGAAGCAGCAACAATAACACTCCTTCCCTCGCAGACAGCGTACGCTTCTTAGTAATTGCCCAAATACTCGTGCATAGAACTACATACGTAACGATATCATGTGCAGTTGCTCTGTACCCTGCATATCAGTACAACCGAGCATACTCAGATGCATCTCAATAGCACTACATATATAAAGCACACTACAACCAAGCATGCTCAGACGCATGTCAAGCACACGGAGGTACTAAGACTTGCACTGAGTGCAGATGCAGCATGTTAAGCACACATGCACACACGCACGCACACACATCATGTTTTTCTTTTTCCCGTCGCGTGTGCATGTGCTGCTGTTGTCCGGCGCACCCCTGCAAGTACTTCTCTGACATCCGAGGCTTCATGTTCTTGGTTGTTTGTTTTCTGACGTTTTTTGCTGGCTGAGCTCCTTGCTCTGTGTTTGGTCCGGAGACACCCCCTGATTTAGGTACCATTGCCTTTGGGTTATCCGTCATAATAATAATAATAATAACACACACACTACGGCGGCTGCACTAGGACTAGGACTTACACTGAGTGCATAGGAGACGGACAGTCCGGCCAAACTGGCCTTGGTGGCGTTACCGCCATCGCCGTGACCAATGTTGACTTCCCGATCAACGACGGCAAACAATGCTGCTCCCAGCACCACTATGCCACCGACAAACTCCAACTGTACGGCAAGCCACCTGCAGCAACAACACAGCATAACACACAACACACACAACAACAGCCAGATTAGCACACCAACCACAACACACACACACACACGATAAGCAATAACCCATGGACACAAGGCAACATCAGATAATGCCGGGAAGGAGAAGAGTAGACAGGGAAATAGCAACGAGAAAAGAAGAAAAAATAAGAAAAAATCATCACCACAGAGGTGAGTACATAGCCTACAACCTCTATGCACAGACTCCACACAACCCAGCTGCTATGGTTACAATTACTATAGCAGCACAGTAGAAGTAGTAGTGGTACAGACCTGTTGGCGACGAGATTGGGATAATAGGCGGCTTGGTTGACATCGACACGATGCTCACTCTCCATGGTGAAGCGTTCCTGTGCGTTGTAGGCACGGATAGTGGACACACCGGATAGAGTTTCAGAGAAGTGAGAGTAGACCGGCGATCGAGACACCGACTCCAGGCGCTTCAACTGGCGGGACGTGGTGACGTAGTAGCGCTGTACATGGAAACAGCAAATGTAACATGATCTGGTTGAGATACTAGAATAATCAACAGTGGCCGCTGGCTGCTATACTGTAGAACGGTTAATTTGTGGCGTTTTTTTTTTAATCAGGACCAATTCGCGATAGTTTATTTTAGTGTTCCGAGTTCCAAAGTTGAAAAAAGATGACTAGCAGATGCTAAATTTCAATTGGCGCGGCAAAAACTTGAGTGAAACGCTCCTTTCACTAAAATCGATAAAATTAGCCGTTTTACAGTAGACAGCATAATTCCCATCGCAGTGGCGTAGTTCTACGTGTACAGGTAAGTTCGTGAGTAACCATATTCCGCCATGCAGAAACATGTCCCACCCCTAAAATGTCCTTACTCGTCCAAGCCCATTTGAATGCATACGAAGTCCCTTGTTCATAATGACACGCAGATCATGACGAGGCTCCACAAAAACAAGCATAAGTTGAGTTTGAAATCACCCGCTAGATCCTGTGGAGCTGGGCTTCTCCATGGCCTAAACAAATATTGAGGTAACAAACAGCAAAGCAAAGAGGTTCTAACCTGCGCAACAAAGTACACAATACTCAGCGGTGCTAGCAATCCCAAGAAGATCGGAGAGCTGTAACTGATAACGATGAGGATGCTGAGGACGTTGAAGAACATCATGAGGAAGGAGCGCAGTGAGCGTGGTATGGCTTCGTCTATCGTGTACACATCCTTGCTGAAGCGGTTCACAACGCGGCCCAGTGGTGTGGTGTCGAAGAACGACTAAAACAAAAGCAGACAGGGGCAACAGCAAACAAGCCAGCAAATTAGGGTGTTAACAGTGTGCAGTTGTAACCAGTGACAACAGAGAGAGAGAGAGAGGGAGGGGGGGGGGGAGGGGGCATGTGCAGATGTAAACAGTGACAACAGAGAGAGAGAGAGAGAGGGGGGGGGGGAGGAGGGGGCATGTGCAGATGTAAACAGTGACAACAGAGAGAGAGAGAGAGGGGGGGGGGGGGGGAGGGGGCATGTGCAGATGTAAACAGTGACAACAGAGAGAGAGAGAGAGAGAGAGAGAGAGAGAGAGAGAGAGAGAGAGAGAGAGAGAGAGAGAGAGAGAGAGGGGGGGGGGGCATGTGCAGATGTAAACAGTGACAACAGAGAGAGAGAGAGAGAGAGAGAGAGGGGGGGGGGGGGGAGGGGGCATGTGCAGATGTAAACAGTGACAACAGAGAGAGAGAGAGGGGGGGGGGGGAGGAGGGGGCATATGCAGATGTAAACAGTGACAACAGAGAGAGAGAGAGAGAGAGAGAGAGAGAGAGAGAGAGAGAGAGAGAGAGAGAGAGAGAGAGAGAGAGAGAGAGAGAGAGAGAGAGAGAGAGAGGGGGGGGGGAGGGAGGAGGAGGGGGCATGTGCAGATGTAAACAGTGACAACAGAGAGAGAGAGAGAGAGAGAGGGGGGGGGGGGGGGAGGAGGGGGCATGTGCAGATGTAAACAGTGACAACAGAGAGAGAGAGGGGGGGGGGGAGGAGGGGGCATGTGCAGATGTAAACAGTGACAACAGAGAGAGAGAGAGAGAGAGAGAGAGAGAGAGAGAGAGAGAGAGAGAGAGGGGGGGGGGGGCATGTGCAGATGTAACCAGTGACAACAGAGAGAGAGAGAGGGGGGGGGGGGCATGTGCAGATGTAAACAGTGACAACAGAGAGAGAGAGAGAGAGGGGGGGGGGGGGAGGAGAGGGCATGTGCAGATGTAACCAGTGACAACAGAGAGAGAGATAGGGGGGGGGGGGCATGTGCAAGTGAACACAATGACGTGCAGGTGTACACAATAACACCAGGGGGAAGGGGAGGGGGGGGCAGATTGCAAACCGAGTCTTATTTACGCTCCTGCTAGATATCCTAGCAATTATTTCATTCCAAGCTATTGCCGTCTTGAAAAGTAAACAAAATACAAAGTTCGGAGAACAAACCAATGTCGCCACCTTACCATGGGTGATCGGAGTACGTTGCGTAACATCTTCCTGTGCAATCGGCGACTAGCCCCGACGGACGCCAGAGCCAGGATGAATGAGCCTGCCAACACCAGCAGACCTTGACCGAGACCAAATGAGGCGTAGACGCCCAGGTACATACCCGTGTTGCTGCAGCCGGGTGTGAGACATCACAATGCACACGCAGCACACACAAAGAAAAAAATCGTTCAGGCTTCTTTCCACTGGAGAAGACGACATACAGTGGCTGATGTGCATAACGTTACATGCATGTCCCAACAAAAGTGGAAACTCGTACCATGCACCACCCCCCCCCCCCCCCCCCCACACACACACACACCACCACCACCACACCCACCACACACCCCCACACACACCCCCACACACCACACACACCACACACCCACACCCACCCCACACACACACCCCACACACACACCACACACACACACCACACACCCACACCACACACACCCCACACACACATACACACACGCACGCACACACACACCACACACACACCACACACACAAGGCAACACATATCCATGAGAAACATACAGGTCCGCTGTGTGGTTGGAGCTGTTCGACTCATTGTCCGACATGAAGCTGAAGTCATCCGACATGAGTGATGACGATCCGCCAGCAGCAGCCGCTTTGGCTGCAGCATGCTTGGTGTTCGCTGCACTCCAGTGAGCCAACCAGATATTCGTACCGATCGAGCAGCCATTGCTCAGAATGTAGATCATGAGAATGATGGCAGAGAACGGTGCACGCAATGCCTTCAAGTACAGGATGAGCACAGATAGCTTGACCTGAAACAAGACACGTATACCAACAACAACACAGCAAGCACAACATGAATAATAGTGAATATATAAACCACGAGGTCCTTTGCACAACATGGCAGAACTTACTTGCACTACCTCACCTTTTGCGTACTAGTACAACTGCAAACATAACTGAGGAAATGAACTGCAGCCAGCAATCTGTGGCCTTGTAAGTCGAACGAGCTAACTGATGTAACTGTTAATATGATTGCTTGTTCCAGGCGCGTAGCTCGTGTGTAGTCCGGTCATCGTACCAGCAAACTGCCGTCATACGTACTACATAGTCAAAATAGGCAAAAATGGCGGCAGTGGGGTGGCTGGTGGTACATGGTCACCACACCACAGCTTGGATTTGGTACATGGTCACCACAGCGCAGATGTGATTTGGCACATGGTCACCACACCACAGATGTGCGAGCTACGCTCCTGTGCCCCTTGTGACTACCTCTCCAAGATGTCTCAAAGCCTATACAGTCAGACCTCGCTTATCCGGTCCTCGTTTATCCGGATCCCTCGCCATCCGGAAGATAATCGCTGGTTACCGATTTACAGCATATGACATGCACACATACAGTATGTGTGTTCGATTATCCAGTTCCCTCGCCTATCCGGATATTTTTCTGGAAAACGGATGTGTGCGGTTATGCGAGGTCTGACTGTACAAAGTATACACACATACCCGGCCTTCTTCGGACGATTCTTCCTCGATGAGCGTGACGTGTTCGTTGGTCAAGCGCGTCTTGTCCTGGGTGCTCTGCCTCAGCGAGCTCTTCTGCTTGGAGAGCTGGCGTCGACGTCCACTGCTCGTCTGTCTGGTGACACTGTGCTGTCCGTGTACGGAGTGTTCGCTGGTGTCACGGCTGATACCGCTGCTGGACGGCGGGGAGATACTGCTGGACTGGCGTGACACACTCGGTGGACTGCAATGGGAACGTCAACAGTGCAGCAAACATTCAATGCAATACTCATGCAAACGTCAGCTAAAGCTCCGCAGCCGTGTACACAGGCAGCAGTCAGAGCAGCAGAGCATTCCAAACCAGTACAGCGTACTTCCAAATATAAAAGACTGGACAGGTACCATAAATTCCCCAAGAGTGTCCAATGAAGTATGTGATCATCCATGGGAACAGTGCAATGATTTCCGACGTGCAATAGTAACAGTACACACACACACTGCAGTGCAGTGTGGCATGCACCATACACATGGCCAGTTCATTGACTGATTCTGTACTTCCTGGAGATCTATTACTAGTATATCCTGCCTGCAACTCCAGTGAGCAACAACAATGAGCAGTTCTTGTCTAGAGTACAGCTTGTGAAGTCAGTGCTTAATTCCAAGCACTTCGCCAGTACTCCTCAGAAGTCGTGCTGGAGAGGTGCAAGAAAGAGTCTACACCTTGCAGACACAATGCGGTGTTGAGCTAGCAATCCTACCTTGCCAAGGATATCTGCTCGGTGAGGCTCTGACTCTGCTGGCGCTCCAGCTGCTGACGACGGCCCTGGGTGCGCGTAAACGACTCCACATCGCCGGTACCAAGCTCAAGGGCGGAGGAGTCCTCGCCCAAAGGCATGGTATCTTCGGGAACCGTTCGAGATCCGAACGCTGTGGAGTGACACAATGAGAAAGGCGAGGGGCAGTTACCAAACAGCATTACGCCAAACAGCATTACGCCATTAACAAAAGCGACACCAGAGCATCCTCCCTCTTCAAAAACACCCATAACTGAAGATAGAAGAGCACATTCCCCACGCAACGACTTTTTCTGCAACAAATTGAATGATTGAAAATGGTGTGTGTAAGGTTTTCCAAATTGAATGTGAATTTAACAACTAGGGATCAAGACACCAGCCAATACATTCAGCAGTTGCAGTCACAGTGTCTGAGAGCGTCAGTTTGCATTGCACAGAAGAGGTTAGAAAAGTACGAGCCTAGCCACTGATGAGTGATGACATTACAATGTATCTACCCAAAGTGACGACCTTTCTGCTCTTCAAAAATGCCACTGGCTCTCAAAGAGAAATGTTGACAGTGTTAGCTCTTCACTTGGGCCGTGTTGGATGTCAAGCAGAGCAGATACGCCTTATGCATGTTGTACAGACGTACGAAATATCGTAGAATCCCGTAGACCCGGAAGGGTATTGAATGTACAGGACCATATTCTGTTTACTGCTATTTCCACTACAAAAGGTGCCCTGAAGGCATCTCATACGAAAACCTTTTCTGAAGAAGATCTATAAAAAGTAAAAAGGACCAAGGAACTAAAAGTTACACTATAATGTCCACTAACACCACCAAGAAGAAGAAGAAGAAGAAGAAGATCTAGCTAGTAATTAGCTCTATCCAAAGTGACGATGCAGGAAAACCGATGGTCTTCTATGATTGTTGGACTAAATTGGTCAAATGCGCATGTACAGCGCAATGAACACACAATCAAGCATTTAAAGCTGTATTCATGTGGGCAGTAGTCACTCTATTAATCCCACACAAACACATTCAGGCTTCATTGCGTAGAGGGGCGAATGATCAGACAACAAAACATTACACTTACTCTCTTCAGGCTCTTCCTCGTCGTCGTCGTCTTCTTCCTCATTGGCGGCGTAGTGCTGCAAGTACTCAGAGAATGCACCTCGGCTTTCAACCAGGGAATTGTACGTACCGGACTGGAAACAAGCGGTGACAATGAGCAAAGACACATACACACACACACCATGTACCATCATATGCACATGCACGTGCACGCACACACATGTACACACGCACACACATGTACACATGTACACATAAACACACACACACACGTACACGTACACACACACACATACAGCAAAGCACATCATGAGCTACAGTGCAGGCAACTGAAATCCGACCCTCTGAGCGGTGGGCTCACATTCTTTGCGATGTGAGCGCACCGCTCTGGGGGTCGGATTTCAGTTGCCAGCACTGTACATGGAATACACGCATGGCACCAGGGACGGAATATTCGCAAAGTCGCATATCGACAGCTAGAGAAACTCTGCTGGAGCCAGGTGAAGAGGTGATGAATGGCGTGGATGTCACTGAAGATGCTCTGCGAATTTCTCGGTTCAACATCTCCGACCATATTGCTTGGGCTCGTAGGTAGTGCTTCATTTCAAGTATGGCAATATCTGGTTGATGCATACACCATAATATGTACGCACATACCCATACCCATACACACACACACACCCACACACACCTACCTCAGATATGAAACCCTCCTTCAACACGATGATGCCGTCGCACTGCGGCAGGAGAGTAATCTGATGGGTGTTGAAGATACGAACCTGCCACACAAGCACACACACCATTGAACAGGAATAAGCCATCCAGTGATGTACATTAAGGAGGCTCCGAACAGTTGCGCAGCGCAGTGTAAAAAGGGCACCTCCGAAATCTGTTTTTTGCCGCGAGATTCAAAAAATGTTGTGTTCTATGCGGAAACAAGCTGTTGTTCAGAAAGAAGTTTTTTGATTTCTCTGTGCTCGCAGTTGTTCCAGGATGTAGTTCTACTCGTTGCAGTGTTTCTGTAGCCGTGGTTGTTTCTACGCTGGAAAGGATCACTGGCCATGGCTAATGCAAAACAAAGGCAGTTTGTACGCTGCTTGATTTTTTTGTGAAAACTTTGTTGAAGCGGTACGATGTGGCCACGAAGAACAAATTATATTACTGACGAAGAAGGGTGAGAAAAGCAGGCTGAAGTCAGTGAAGACATCGATGTTGAACGTAGTGATACTAGTACTGGTACTGGAATTTAGCATGGACTACCTGTGGAGCGTGAAGTGGCTGCCCACTCGCTGGTAAGTGGACCCACTTGCAGCTCCAGTCGCACGAGTACCGTTTGAAACTTTCTGTGGATCCTAGAGTATCCTGAGCTCAGTGGACGACGCATCTCAGAGCTGCTGAACTTGGGCTACTGTCCCTGTAGGAATGAGGTCGTGTCAACCACTGTACTGCACTGATGGTGTAAGGAAAACGCTGGCCAGAAGCTTGTGTTCTGAACCAGGGACGAACTTCTAAATCCTGCTTTTGTAAAAATGGGGATGCCACAACTAAGATGTGCACACTCAGGTGTGTATTGGGTAAATGCCTGTGGTTGATTATTTTGAATCCTTTCCTATGCGCAAGTACATGCGTTTGTGTGTGTGTGTACGCGCGCGCGCGCGCGTGTGTGTGTGTGTACGCGCGCGAGTGTGTGTGTGTACGCGCGCGCATGCGCGCGCGTGTGTGTGTGTGTGTGTGTGTGTGTGCAAGCTGTTGAAAGGTGTAATCCGAGCACAAGTTGCTATGTCCAACGTAGTTTGTTCGCTATCCTCGCTTCAGCGTTGGGCAGGTGTATGAGTGTGTGTGTACGCGCGTGTGTGTGTGCGCGCGTGCTCGTGCCCGCATGTGTGGGTTCGCGCGCAATGTTGACCTGGGTTATGCACATGTCCCCACGAGTGCACTGTGTGCATGTGCATGCAAATGTCTGTGTACATGTATGTGTGTATGCACGTGCATGTGTGCTCGCGTGTGCAAAGCTAGGTGTGGAAGGGGGGGGGGGGGGAGGGGCTCACGGTGCTGGTTCTGTATGCCTCTCCTCTCTGGTGTCCGCAAGTACAGTGTGGTAATGGCTTTACAGTACAGGAGTTGCATGTGAATGCGCATTTGTGAACCGTATTTGAGACACAAAAAGAATTGCCGAGAGAGCATGGCATGACAGTACACTACAATCATGTACATGTATATCGTATGTGTGCACGCCAGCGTGTGTAGATGCATATTGCCCTTCATGCGATGTTTTTCTGGAGTCTGCTGCTATCAACGCAAGTGACAACCAGCAAATGCATGCCCAGTGCAGTGGCTGGTCTTCAAGCTTTTATTTACACTAAGTCCTACTATGGACTAGTAGTGTTACAATGATGCGTGCACGAGAGTGCGTGCATGTGGGTGGGTGTTTATGTGCGTGCGCACGCGTGTGAGTGTTTAGTGTGCCTTATTTTGAATGCCTGCTTTCACATTATTCATGTGCCAGTTTCATGGTCGAGGTTGTTATGAAACCTCGCTGCCTTACATGTACATGTACACTACTCGTATATCAATGTGCTAGGCCTGAAGGCTACATGACATACATGTAATGATACATGTACCTTTCCAAGCACAGCCTTTCTGGTATGTCCAAAGGAGGTTGCAGCATGAAAATAACTTCTTCTAAAATAATATTACCATACTACCATGTCATTGGTAGTGATATTTAGTCAAGAAGGCAAGAATGATCAGATTTTCTAAAAATGCTATTTTCAGAATTGGCCTAAAAATACCATATTTCGATACCTATATTGTTTGGTAGGGGCCTAAAGTGCCTGGTGACACCATCAAAACTGTCCATTATCGGCTTCCTTGGGGCTCAAGGATCACAGAAAGCCACAAAAATCAATATGTCCATGGACAAAATGTTGCAGGCTGAACCATTTCACAATTCAGCACCCGATGGAAATTTCGGTTCCCGTAATTTCGAAAGAGTGGCTCACCAAGGGCAAAACCAAGACACAGTCTATCTTGTGTAGCCAAGATACCTCCAAATGTGGTTCTTAAACATATGATGAAGAAAATGCTTAGTATCCTCCTTCCAGGAGGCTTCTTTGGGTCAAAAACCAAATTTTTTTACCATTTTTTTGCCGAAAATCAAGAAATTGTACACTCACTAAATACACCAGAATACCTCTTATATGCCTGGTGACCCTACCTAAAAACTATACCCAATTGAAGAAGAGACATCACTCCACCATTCTATGCATAAAAAACAGGGTGTCCATGGACCTTTTATTTTTACTTCTTTAGGTGGGAGCCTCCTTAAGTCATGTTTATAATATTCTCCAATGTGACTACAGTACGATGGGCTCCACGGTATGCACCAGCAGCCCATTACTGACTACTAACTCATTTGTCTTAGGCCCAGCCAAGGATACAAAGAAAACGCAGTTAAAGCTAGCATCCAGGCTACCTGAACGACAGGTTATGAGTGGTGTTCAAAAGGAGGTTGATGAGCTCAGATACGTGTCCTGCAACAGGTCTTATCCGACGCAACACTAACACTGGGTCTCATTTGCTCACTCCACATGAACACTTCAGCGGAGTACACGCAGCGGACAGAATGAACAGAGACAATCCAAACCAAGAATAGACAAACAAGAGTGTGCAACTCCGCATCTCTCCTGCACAATCTGCAGATACCCTGGCCCACGGCGGAAATTATTGTCGATGTCACCTTTTTACCGAGCACGCACATTTTGCCGCAGAGCAGTGTGAGAGCACGTGCTGGGCACCGGCCTTGTAATGTAAAGCCCGGCCAAGTGCACTAGGGAAAACTTCCCAAAAGACTCGTAGCGTGTGCGTCGTAGAAAAGATTACGTCAACAATAATTTCCGCCGTGGGCCAACCCATCCGCAAGTTGCACACTCTTGTTTATCTACTCTTGTCCAAACGTATCAATTACCTTGTGTTTCAAGACGCCATTCGGACCAATGACGTTCTCAAAGATGTGCTTTCCGACGTGCGAGTCCACAGCGCTGAGAGGATCATCAAGAAGGTAGATATCGGCGTTGGAGTAGACAGCACGAGCTAAGCTCACACGCTGTTTCTGACCGCCGCTCAGATTAATACCCTGCGGAAAATGACAAGAGACAACAAGCAATCAGCAAGCAAACGGCAGGAAATCCATGGCCTGTAGCACCACTTCAGGCATAAATTCAAGTTGTAAAAAAGATCTATTCGAAGTCAAAAGTGCGCACAACATTTCTTTTGTCCTACTGCAGTAGAGGGCACTTGCAGATGAGGAGTCAGCATACAGAATGATATACTGCTTGAAGAATCCGAGGCATGCTTGCAGCATATGCGGGCTTGGCGAACACAAAGCACACAGTGTACATACTTATCCCATGGGCAGACACCAGACAAGGGTGTAACAAGACTACAGCAAGGCCATACATGCTCACATACCTTCTCTCCAATCTCCGTCATGTCACCGCCTGGCAGCATCTCCAGATCCGGTCCCAGCGCACACGCATTGATCACTTTCTGGTACACAGCTTGATTGTACATACGACCAAACAGAATATTGTCACGCACCGTGGCGTTTTGGATCCAAGCTTGCTGCGGTACAAAGGCAACTCTTCCCTGAAACATTCGCAGGAACACAAAGTAGAAAATTAGGGCAATCAGGCAATACGAGTCAACAATGACGAAAACAACAAGTGTCATGAGAATGTAGCAGATTAGCACAACACACATCCTACACAAGAAACTCACTCTTCCCCAAGATGGGCCTTGACCGAAAATTCGGATGATTTCATGTTATTCTTTTTTCAGTGATTGGTGTAGCCCAGAGAGCGCTTGCAGTGAGTGCTGTGAGTGCACTGAGTGCTGTGAGGATGTGTGGATACTGGTGGCTACGATGGAGTGTGCGCATGTTAAGAATGACACTCAAGGCTGGTATTACCCCTACGTTTGCACACAGACCTACATTACACCACCAAACCCAGTACAACCACAAGTACAGACAAGAGGTAAGCCGCAAGCCTCGCCAGCAGCAGCAGCAGGTATTCTCCAAGTACAGTACACTACTACTGTATACAGTGCTAGGTAGCAGGTGGTGGTGCTCCAGTGGCCTTACCTTAACCGTGACGGTACCATCCAGCTTGTCCATGTCACCAAGCAGAGCGGAGAGTAGTGATGACTTGCCAGCACCCACAGAGCCAACAACAGCTAGCAGCTCGTTTTCACGTACCGACAGGTTGATGCTGAGTTCACAACAGAAAAAAAGATCACGTATTAGACAGGTTGATGCTAAGTTCACAACAGAAAAAAGATCAAGTATAGACAGGTTGATGCGGAGTTCACAACAGACAGTAGAAAAGACCATGTGTATCAGGTGAAGGGACGATGTGGTGGATACCCGGGTCGTGTGAGAATATGCCCCTAGAGATATGAGTGTGTACATTGTATAGCACTACGAGCTTTGGAAATAGCACGCGCACGCACGCACACGCACACACACACACACACACACACACACACACACACACACACACACACACGACTAGCTATGAGGAGCCCAAGGCAGGCAAGAGTAGGCCAGCCATGGACACAAACTCGCTTACCCGCTAAGAACAGCTGGCTCCTCTTCTCCCCAGGAAAATTTGCCATGCCGAACACTGACAGTAGGACTTCCATCTGAATACGGGTACATAAGAATACACAAACGCCCGCACGCACGCACAACACACACACATGCACACAGTTTCGGTTAGGGTTGCTGCAAAGACTGTGCCAGCAAAGAACAAGCACAAAAGTAAATTTCCGTCTACTTCCCTGGAAAAGGAACACATGCCAGGCACTAGCTAAGCACCCACCAAAAAGCAGCGCATGACAGAGTCACAGTACAGATGAGAAGGATGGGGAACTGACCAGTAGGGGGACGGCTTTCACGCTTCACCGAGGATTCCTTCAGGTCATCATGCCTCATGAACTTATTGAGGCGACCCAGTGACACGCTCGACTATATCACAAACAAACAAGCACAGAAGACACAAAGACGTCAACAGAGCCCGGTGTACAATGGAGTGAATGAAAGCAAATCAAAGTGTGCTCTCGTCCAGGGTGGGCAGTGCACAAACACAATGCTACAGGATACACAAGTCTAGCCATGAAGATTGCGAATAACAGATACAACGCACACACGCACGCACATACGCACACACACACACGCACGCACACACACACACACACACACACACACTTGTTGCTCACTGCCAAAACTGTCACGTGGGTCTCCCCGGGAGAGGGGAGAGAGACTCAAAAGGAATCTTGGAAAGATGACTCAATTGGCTATTGAACCGCCCAACGGCCGACATCCCCTGAAATCCCCAAAACTCTGGGCGGACTTGAAAATGATCCCACTTATGGGCTCACCACACCTCAGTAAGTGGGTGAGGACAAGGTGCAGAAAAAGGATTGACGGCATCAGGGTATCCGTCCTGGGATCCAACTGCAGTTACCCCTGCCCCCAGTGAAGGTAATACTTGCTACTAGTGTGGGTGGCTAAATCAGAGTGGATCTGAGATAAGCTTCACTAGCACCGTTGATTACACAAGAGTTAATCTAGCCAGAAGCAGTCCATGGTTAACAGGTATGTATACTTCAAACAGAAAGTATATGAACCCTGGAACCAACAAAGGTGGCAGGTACAACATTACACCTTCAAGTAGCCGAGCCCGTTGGCAACAGACCCAACACAATCAGGCATAAGTGTACCCACCAACCGAACTAGCTGGCACACACACACACACACACACATGTACTCAGCAGATAGGATATAAATACAGAACACGGCACGGCACAGAATAGTTGATTCCCGGGGTATTTGTAAGCAGCTCCTCACTAGCATACAGGCTGATCTACTTTGTTTTCAGGCACCTTTCAACTTAAGACGCATCAGACCCGGTGGAGCGTGGAGTGGGTTAAGCATGCGTCCATATTATACCCATAACCTGGGAGCACATGACGCAAGGTAGGATAACCACTGATCTCCATTCCTCCTAAGAACATCAAGCACTGTAGTAGAGCCATCCAGTGCTCATACACTAAGTATACTGCCACGCCACATCATGGCCGTCTATGTACACACAGTGATGACATAACTCACCTCCACAAGGAAAGCGATCATCATCGGCAAGACAGACAGGGGGAACTTCAAGATGTTGAACAGTGACAGAGCCACAAAGGCTTTGGATGCCGTCAGCTCGTTGCCAGCGAGGGAGTATGTTCCAAATGTTACCAGAGCCACCTTGCAAGAGAGAAACAAGGAGAGGGAGAGATGGATGGATGGATGGATAGACAGACAGACGGACGGACAGACAGACAGACAGATAGACAGATAGATAGAAAGAGAGAGAATAGTGATGGATTAAACATCAAGGTTAACAAAAAAAATAGAAAAAGAAAGAAAAAACACCAGGACATCATCCATATGCATATGTATGCTTGCCATCCAACTCCATCCTATTCACAAACTGCCTGGGGCAGGGCTACTGCATGCATTACAAGGTTAAAAACAGTCACACCCGAACGAAAACATACCAAGAATGGAGCCATTGTCCAAGTGAAAGTGCCACCTGCGTTGAGGAAGGCAGTATCCTTCAGTACTTGCAGTTCGTTCTCACGAATGCCACCGACAAGACGCAAGAAAGACTTCTCCCATGCGTACAGCTTGATAACCTGCAATCACGAAAAAAAGGAGCAGAGAAAACAAAATATAAGGGTGAGTGTAATAACGTAGGGCACTTGACTGCTCGAATAGTGCTCAGCACCCTAGGTGAGTGAGTGAGTGAGTGAGTGAGAGAGAGAGAGAGAGAGAGAGAGAGAGAGAGAGAGAGAGAGAGAGAGAGAGAGAGAGAGAGAGAGAGAGAGAGAGAGAGAGAGAGAAAGAAAGAGAGAGAGAGAGAGAGAGAGAGAGAGAGAGAGAGAGATCGTGACTAAACGTGAAACTCAGACGGCTTTCTCTCTCTCTCTCTCCATGCATAACGGTAAGTGCACAATCCAAAAACGTAAGGGAGAGCGTAAAAGGACAAAGGAGAACAAATAACTGCAAGGAGCTCGTATTGAAGTTTTTTGGCACATACTTCTGCACATTTGAGGTATCTCACCTTGATTCCATTGAGGACTTCATTCATGATCTTGATACGCGAGTCCTTTGCCTTCATTTGGCGCACCTGTGCACACCGGACAGACCAAACACCACAAGAGCTCAGTGGCAAGGCACTACAGCATACACCATGTTAGTAACACCGTAACAGACGCGTGTGTACACGCATAAATCTGTCCCGCAGGAAGTGCCAGGGCTAATGGAAATATGATAATGGTGCAAGGTGCATGAGTCACAGTGACAAGTTATCACGGTAGAGTTACCTTACAGATCAAGAAGATGAAACCATGTGGACTGTTCAGGCAATGCCACAGACATGACAGTTTGCATGCCCTGAATTTAGCAGCATCGGATGCCGGCAAAGGGTGAAAGAAACATGTGTAGGTGCAGCCAATAGACATGATACGAACTCACAAAGTACATAGTATCGTAAAGTACCGCCAGAGCGCCCCACCTTGATTTTAAAGCCAGGGAAAGGAAAATCGTACGGCAGAGTGCAATGAAGTAACGGTTATATGGTGTGAGACCCTTAGTGTACTAAGGTCACACTTAGCAGGCTTTTCTGTGGATCTCGTGTCCGCTCGAAGGTAAATTGAGTACGGCTTGACTGCACAACGTGTAACGTGTGTACAAGCTTCGTGTCGCATGACCTACAGACAGGACACCACATCTACAACACGACCACGAAAGGACGAAATGGTGGGGTGCTCTGGCGGTACTTTACGGTACCAGTTATTACTCTCTAGTTTAAATACGGCATATCTGCAAGACTACAAGCACCCACAATGTGTCTGCCCTCAACCCTCACCGGCAGTGTGCACATGTACAAGCACCCACAATGTGTGTCTGCCCTCCCTGCCCTCACCTGTAGTGTGCGAGTCTTGGCGGCCAGGACTGCATTGACTGGGATGAGTAAGACCATCATGCCTACCCCAGCCAGTGTGGCAACACCCATGGTTTGCCATAGGAAGTACATAGACAATGCAATCTGCAGTGGCATAGACCTGCAAATACGCACACGCACACATGCAAGCACACACACACACACACACACACACACATGCAAGCACACCCACCCACACCCACACACACGAAAATGTACACACATGCACACACAGAACCACAGGCGGCAACCACCAGACAACAGACTTCAGCGGTCTTCAGCGTAGGAAGAGAGAGTTGCCACAATCATACCATGGTCTTGATTTGCAAACCAGAGCAGAGTATTTGGCTAGGATAGCAGCTGGCATACGTGCACAAACACAAACTGAGCATGCACTGAACTGGCACTGAGCACGAAGTGAGCACGCACCAAACCTGCACTGAGCAGAACCTGAGCATAAACAATCTAGAGAGCTGTGTGAATTGAGGAGCATGAACACAGCAAACCCACCACATGTAGTGAAGATAGCCGGACAGGTCCATGAATCTCTGAGCGTCCACCGACATCAAGTTGACAATCTCGCCGGCCGTGCTAATACGACGCGCGGAGCTCGAGAGACGCAACGACTGAACATAGTCACGACAACAGCAACAGTTGCAGCACCCGCAGCAGAACATAAAACCGTGAACTGTGAACACGTTATACCAATCATTCTTGACCCAATTTGTCTTTGCCAAAAAGTCATCTCACTCCTGTCCACTGCAATTCCTGCACTTGGGTCACAGCAACCGTGCACATAATGTCGCTGGAGACTAGAGTACATATACAATGTACTTGAATGGTGTATCCCAGGCCCGGTACGCTACAGTTAACCCCAGGCAGTAGCTCCAGGTCTGCACTCACAGCTCGCAAAGTGTCAAACACTAAGTGTTTGTATGTATGAGGTGTTCAGAATAGGTGCACACATCAAATCTCTCTCCCCTCTCCCGGGAAGGCCCACATGATCAGTTTCTGGCAGTGAGCAAGTCCAAGTACAAGAACATATTGATCATAAACAACAATCAGATTAGACCGGTATCCCGACCTGCTTCTAAGCCCCAATATGGCGTTCAAATAGTGCACAACACATACCAGTTACAGTGTAGCGCCAAACCAAGTTTTAATTTCCTCGTCAAAACCATGTCAAGAGAGTTTTGGACTTACTTTCTTGTAGACAATGGAAACAACTGCGGTACGCACACGCATGCCGATGGCCATGCACTTGATGAAGTACTGCTGCACCACAATGGACTGGACTACCGTCACCATAAACAGAATACCAGCGTACAAGTAACCGTGCCACACTGGCTCCTCAGAGTCGGACATGAAGTGAATCAGCAACCTGTCAACAGCACAACATTATTATATCATAGTGACACGGTCCACACACAAACACAAACACGCAGATACGGACATGCAGACAGACAGACACACACGCACACACACGCACACACACACAAACACGCACACACACGCACACACAAACACACACACACACACACACACACACAGACACACACACAAACACACAGAAACAGACACACAGACACACAGAAACACACAGAAACAGACACACACACACACACACAGTGGGTACGAAACTATTAGCAGAGCGCACCCAGCACAGATGTGGACTGGCCAGATCACTACACGCCAGTACAGTATACTTTAGTAAGAAGTACTCTGACCTCTCAGCTCCACAGGACCACTGAGAAGACCTAATAATGTGGAAACGACTTGCTGTCCGGAGATTGGGGATTAGTAAAAAAGTGTACAGTCAAACACGATCATAGTACCCTACATAAACTTGGAAGTACTTAGTAATACTCTGAAGTGCACATAAAGAAACACGGGCATACTAGTAAGACACAAACTCTTACTTGAGAATCTGTGGGTTGACAAACGCCAAGACGTCATTGACAAGCTTCAAAACACCGGAAGCAGCGAACGTCCAGCCAAAAGCCCCGCCAAGCGCCCAGATAAGAGACGGCTGGGCTGCTTTGCCAGAACCGGACTGGTCACCGGGGGACGAGGTGCGTGCTATCAGTGGTGTGGTCTCCTCAGACTCCTGGATCTGACGCACACTGAAACCCTTGGCCTTGATGTCCGCAGCATGACTGGGTCAGAGGACACAAGCAGAAACAAGGCAAAGCGAGAATGTTCTACACATCTAAAGACTGATGCTGCACTAGTACGTACGATGTGTCCATTATGTCCATTGTATGCGAATACGACATGTGAACAAAGTTATTCTATAGCCTTACATAATATGATAATATTACTATGGATACGAGTACGCATCCTCTGCAAGGTATGGAGGTAATTCTCAAAAGCCTATTTACATGTCACGTAGTGGTATGGTGTCTAGTCACCGACACACATCTAATATGTACTGCATCTCTTATCCGGAGTAAAGTGCAGTGTGAGCACTGTGGGTTGAACAACCTGATGACATCATGGAAACGCTGCATCCAAAAGTGCACGCAAAACGCTCCGACATATATGGTGCTTGCCGACACTCATGAGTCATGATCCCCGTGGACAACAAAAACAACAAAAACAGCAACAACAGCAACAGCAACAGCAACAGCAACAGCAACAACAACAACAACAACAACAACAACAACAACAACAACAACAACAACAACAACACCAACAACACCAACAAAAACGACAACAACGACTGTGGCTGCCAAAAAAAACTACTCACGTCTCAGAACCCGCAGATCTTCCACTGCCATTGCGGGCGCAGAAATATAGTGACAACCACAACCAGCCACAACCATGAAAACAAATGAGAAGAACAAGAAGAGGCAAAGCAAAGAGTGCATTAGCACACAGCCAGGCATGTTGGAAGTTAGGAAGTTACTAGGAACACAATACCACACCACAATCACAAGGTGTTGGCACTGTTGACTGCAACAACGTACGGTGGAAGCTGCCTCTGGTTGGCCACTCTCCTTCCGGGAGAGTTACAATTCACAATTATCATTATTATCAAGCATTGCCGCGTTCAAGTCGGTGGATCCACTAGGTCCACCCACAGGTTCGCTCGTGCCGGATAGATTCAAGTAAGGGGATAATGATTGGACGATGTTGAGCTACATGATACACTCCGTGTGACAAGGGTAAAGACTGCATGCAAGGCAATAGATAACTAAAAGTAAGGTGTCAAAATAGACTTGTCAGTTGTGCATCAAATCAGGTTTCATATTACCCAAATGATTGGTGATCCAAACAGGAGTCAGGACTCAGGGCGGCATGTGACTGCCTTCAGTACAATGCCAGTAGCATACTACGATAGCCAGACGAGGCTCACTGCATGACTTACATCTTCTTGAGCTGCTTATCCCAGGCACGCTCAAACAATGGCACAATGTGGCTGGACTTGTCGTAATCGTTCAGTGACCAGAGGTCATCACGCTTCAGCGGGCGCTTGTAGCCCATTTTAAGAAGTCTGCACGCACGCACAATACATAACAGAGCAGAAACAGCGATAGCAAAGACAGCAGGGGAAACGTCCAGTTCTCAGAGTGAATTCTGGTGTTTTGTTCGCCATACATAGCCGAAACAAGTTCAAACAACCCAATAGAAAGTTAGAAACTAGTGCACAACAAGATGGGGAGCAGAGAGAACACACACAATAGTACTCTCAGTAATAGGCACTGGTATAGACATGTAGTACCTAATGCTGTACACAGCTAGCTGTATGTCCTAAGACAACGATTTGATCACACACAGAAACAAAGCTGCCCATTTCACTACTTAGTCAACTGTCAAACTGTCCCTAAAAGCTTTCCGTCCCATTGTCATCAGCGGATACAAGGAAAGAAAGGAAAGAAAGTTAGAATTGCATGCAGTGGAGTCTGCTCACCCTGAAAAGTCAGAATTGTCCAATAAATACTGCAATTGCCAGGGGAGAAATGAGATCTAGCGCTACCTACAACCTATCACTTGTTTTGCATAAGGAAGTGTAAGAGAGTGCAAGATAAATGGCGCCGGTTTGAAGACAACAGACACAGCTCTAGCACAGTAGACACATCACTTGTCACTTCAGGTAAACATAGCCAGCACACTGACGAAGTGCTGCTGTTTTTGTGCGCATAGCACTGGTTCATGGCTGCGGATGAACAACACCTCAAATAGACTACGGTGTGGCAGATTGCGCGCTGAGGTTACAACACACTGAAGCGGTCACTGTGCTGCTCCAGGATACACGCTGGCTGTTCATGGTGCTGGGTGATACCATTGTCAATCATGACTAGGTGTGTGTGAGGAGGCTTCATCAGTTACAGTTGCTTGTCAGGTATTAAAGTGTCTGATATACCTTTCTATTCCAGTATACGAGTACAAGTATATTGGATGGGTTTGACTTGCTGTACTTCATTCCCATGTATCAATTGACGAGAGTGGGTCAAAATGCTTTTCTTAAGCTTTTTTGGACAAAGTTTTGACAGTTGACCAAGTAATGATATTAGAAACTTTGTTGCTGTGGGTTGTCAAATGGCCCAATATCTGAGAAAATCGACCTTCGGGGCTGTTTTGGTGAAATTGATTTTTTTATTGCAAATTGATGTCTTGCCTTTGTAGAGTATTGTGACTTCGTTTCACGGCCATCAGACCAATATTGACCATGTAGAAATGCATTCTACAGTCAGGAGTCATGTTAATGAATTGTTCTTTTTTTACAATTTTGAAAGATCAGTGTGTTTGGAGCCACCAAAAATTGTTTCCATGTGATATCACTAGCAAACTAATACAGTAAAGTGTTTTGACTGTTCAGGTACTTCATTTCCAGCATTCCGTGACTTTATTGAGGTTGTGTAGTAGCAACAGCAGCAATAGCAGCATTAGAAGGAGAGGTGATTTATCTGTTCTCCTGGTGATGGACATGCTTGACAGGATAGTCTGCAACAGATTTTGACGGAACACCAGGATACATGTGACAGCATTCACATACGTATTGTGAAGGAGTCAAACAGAGCAAATGCGTCCAGATTCGCCTTGTTGCACTTTGTGGAGACTGACCATTTCCAAACATCATTAAACCAGCCTGACAAGCGTTTCACACCACCAACTCAAAAGTAACAGAATGTTACTCGAGATTGCCCAGCCTCATGTGCTCCGTGATGGTCTGATTCGCCATTATTAGCTCGAGTATCGAGCTTGCCATCCCAAACATTTTAGGATCATCGTCGCAAAGAAAACTCGCATCATTTCGTGCTGTTTTAGCAGGTCTGGCGTGACACTCAGGAAACAGTTCTGCCACTCGCGCAAAGGTGCCCAGCGACCTTGCAAGCGGCGTACCCTCAGGAATCCACCTGGTTGTCCTTGCCTGGAGCTGTAGCAGCTATCGCTGAGGCAGACTGTGGTTGGCCTTGATCATACTCATCCAGGCCAAGTCCTCATCATCGTCGCCCCCGACAGGTAAGTACCGCGTGTCACTTGCGATCGATTCGCCTGACATGCGCTCTCAGAACTAGAAGCGCCGTCGCCGCTTGACAGGATATCCACAAAGAACGATGCATCACCGTCCATGGGATCGCGGCTGCTGTGCTCCGTGAGCCCAATAACCAACTGACACAAGAATCGCCTTCAATTTTATTCCGCCATTGTCGTCTCTGCACTTTGCATTGACGGAATCGATTTTTTTGCGAACAAATTTGTTTTTAGTGTTTTCTCAAAAAACCGGGTAGCCCCGAAGGTCGAAAGTCTCAGATATCGGGCCAAATAATACCACACCACGGTACACTCTGAAGACTTTCTCAAGATCCTCAACTTCAATGAATGGAACGTTGACCAGCAAATGACACAGCAATGGAGAAAAAGGACAGGATAAGTGTACGCACGGATAGATCCACCAGAAGGTGATCCGTGACAGGAAAGTTGCCTGCTGCTCCGGGCAAGGGTTCTGCACCAAAATAAGACAGAGATCAACAGGACAACATTGAACAGGCCCAGACAAAACCAGGGGGGGGGGGGGCTCATGATGGGCAGCTCCAGAAGAGTGCATGGGGCAGTTTGATGTGCAAGATACCGAACAAGCCATTAGAAAGGGACGGGGGAAGAGCACGCAGATTTTTCTCCACATGCACAAATTTGTCATGCACCATCCCAATAAACCTTGCACGTCATTGATGTTGAGAAGCTTGAAAATAGAGAAGAAAATATTTTTGATGCTGTTGGAACAGTATTGAAGCACATTATTTTAGTTTAAAAAAATATCTGGGTGTAAGTGTAAGTGTGTGTGTGTGTGTGCATGTGTGTGTGCATGTGTGTGTGTGCATGTGTTTACACATGTGCGTGCCAATGCACAACCACCAACCCACAGAGCTGAGCATCCAATGAGACCTATATATTGCAAGGATGAACGTGCATTACCACTAGACTGGACAGAACCACACAAGCACACTTGCACACTTTCACACAAGCACACTTGCACACAAGCATGCGCGCACGCACACACGCCTTGACCTTGATACACGTTGCCTTGATAGGTTACACGGTCCCCGTCAGGGGAGAGGGGTGGAAGAGGCTGAGGAGCAGCACTCCTGATGGCGTACTAGATGGTGACGTAGTCGGAACTTCCTTTGGCAAGGGCACTCAAACTGGAAGTCGGCCCTTTCCGACCCTGTCCTTCGTTTCGTGCGGTCGTACTTGTGTCTGGCCAAGCCGCTGCTAGACTTGAAACTCCGGTGACAGGTGCTGCACTGCGGAGTGACCGGGTTGCCGGACACACGCACACACACACACACACACACACACACACACACACACACACACACACACACACACACACACACAAGCACTAGCGGCAGGAGCATGCACACCAGCACACAGACTTACCGCATCTGAATCCACAGAATACGGGGGCCGGTGATCGTTGAAGGCAGCCAGTAGAGTCGAGACAAGAGAGAAGAACGGGAAGATGCACACTGTGTAGAAGATGACAGCCTGCTCCTGACAGCCATCATAAAATAAACACAAGAGAAACAGAACAAATGTTCAGTGTAAACTAATTGATCACTGACATCTCAGTGAAACACACACAAATCAAACAGGGCAAAATCACTTTCCTCAGGTGCACACTCAGTTTTGCTCTCACACTTCACCTGACTGAAGATGAAGTACAATGGTAAATTAAATACCGCCCGAACATCTGGTGCTCTCTGCATGCTCGCCTAACCCTGTTGGTGCGACACGGTACCACACTACTACTACAAGTGCTTACCTGGGACGAGTCGTGCATGTAAATGAGGACATGCGAGCGCAACAAGATTCCAAAGTAGCCGGTGAGCATCAGCCAGAAGAAGAACATCACACCCGACGTCCGATTACCCACTCGCCGATCACGTTCCGTTAAGACGAGAGAAAACAGCTGTGCACAATAAATAAAAGACAGACGATTGAAACTCGAAAATAAGAAAAGCTGGTTACATAGTGCATGACCTGTGGTGGAGAGCACGGGTGAAAATCTGCATAGGCAGTAGGTCGGCTGCCTTCGAGAGCCTATATTCTGTAACAAGAGACTGACATCTCGGACCAAGTGCATGGTGTAAATAGCGGTAGTCTTGTCTATGCTGCTATATGGCTCAGAGGCATGGCCTGTGAAGGCTGATCAACTTCGCTGGATGAAGTTATGAACACTTCTCATTGTGCTTGTATCCGTACCATCCTGGCCGTGTCCCGTACGGAGTAGTGGACTCAGCGGCTGACGAGCACAGAGCTAATTCTCGTCGCTTTGGATCAGAAGCAGAGGCTGGCGATATGCTTTGCATGCATCGCTTGCGATAGCTCGGCCACATAGCAAGAGTGGACTTGTCTCATCTCCCATGGAAGGTGCTTTTTGTGGAGCTGCCGCAAACTCAGACGTGCCATGGCCTGAAGCGGCGCCGGAGGGATGTAGTGCAGCAAAATTTCTATACTAAATGACATACCCGAAGAGGGTTGGGGCGAGCTTGCACAGAGTCATAATGAGTGGAGGCCACTGTGCCCTCGTCCGAAGCCGCAACTTTGATGTGTGTGTGTGTGTGTGTACGTGCATGTGTGCGGGGCGCGCAAGCGTGTGTGTGTGCGGCAAGGCCGGCACGAAACACGTAACTGATTCCGTGAGCAACAGCGTTATAGTAAACGCGCGCGCACGCATACACACACACGCACTTTGTACTTGCTCACTGCCATGGCTGGTCACACGTGTCTCCCCCGAAGAGGGGAGAGAGATTCAAAAGGAATATTGAAAAGATGACTCAATTGGCTATTGAACCGCCCAACGGCCGTAACCCCTGAAATCCCCAAAACTCTGGGTGGACTTGAAAATGATCCCACTTATGGGCTCACCACACCTCAGTAAGTGGGTGAGGGCAACGTGCAGAAAAAGGACTGACGGCATCTGGGTATCCATCCCGGGATCCAACTGCAGTTACCCCTGCCCCCAGTGAAGGTAATACTTGCTACTAGTGTGGGTGGCTAAATCAGAGTGGATCTGATATAAGCTTCACTAGCACCATTGATTACACAAGACACACAGACACACACACGCACATACACACACCAAATACACATTTTACGTGTGAACCATGCACTGTGAGGTCCGAGACCAAAACAAGACAGCCACATGTATGGCATGTGATGCTTTACTCACCACTGTCCCCGCCAGAATTCCAGCGGCGTACCACTCGTACTGGTACACAGTGCCGCTGTTGCCATATGAGTGGACATAATGGCCAATACGGATCAGTGACAGCAGGAACACGCATGATCCAGACAGCTAATAGAAAGTACACACATACGCATGTACGCACACACATACGTGCACACATATACACCACACACACACACACACATGAACACACGTACACACACCATACACATGCACACACACACACACACACACACACACACACACACACACACACACACACACACACACACACACACACACACACACACACTACTACTACTACTACTACTACTACTACTACTATGTACAGCCACCCTATCGGGCCACGCCGCTCCCAGAAGCGGGAGACAACGACAAGAAGAGAAGAGAGAAATCGCAAAGACACACACACACACACACACACACACACACACACACGCACACACACACACACACCATACACTGTGTAACACATGCACACAAAGGAAGCCAATGCAAGTAATCAAGGCCACAAATTACACAATACAGTCACCTACACAGAGTACAATCGGTAGAGTGTCAGGATAATTATAGAGATAGGATCATCGTGCATGCCCTTTGCCGGGACGGGGTGGATGCTTGGGTTCATCATTCAATGTGATCTATACCTGATCTTCAATCCATTAAAGGAAGACAAAATGCTCATTGGAATCAGCCTGGAATCAGAGGTGTGCAGTGCCAATGGCAAGGAGTTTATTTATTATTTTGGCGAAATTTTGAAAACGTTCGACTCAGCACAAGACAAGTAAGAGGCATGGTGTGACTCTCTTGTTGTCTTTATTATTTTTTGTCATACTGCTACCAGATCTACTGCTTACCAGTTTCAACTTGTGCAGAGTTGAAATTGCTATTGACCCCAGACCCCCTGGCGAAGCGAAGCAAAATCTCAGTGCCGCGAACAGCCAGAGAAAGCCACAGGGTATCCAAAGGATAATTGTGTCCTCAAAGCACAGTGTGAAATCCGTGGTATTCACCACCGCTGGTGGAGACTGGATTCGTGGAAAACAGAAGGAAAACCCAATTCAAAAATTAACAATTGCACAGGATATTATGTACACCTGTACTGGCAAATGCAAATGAACTTATCATCGTCTTTCTGACTTACATAGTACGGCGTCGGTTTGCAAAAGCTATCCATTTCTGCAACTTGTGACTTCCTTAGAGAAGGAAAGCCATGCCGTGAAGAAACGCTATAACTAAGTTACATTACCAACGCAAGTGCAAGGACATCACCAAACCAGCAAACCGAATCAGGGAGTTCGAAGATTCGAGATGTTCAACTACTTCGTGTGGAAAGTCTCGAAACACATAATAACTACGCGGTACGTATACCATGGTATACGATACATCTACCGTAGATTTGCCAATCATTTTTGCCCTGCCTGGCTTGAGCGCAAGCTGCTGCTTTACTTGGCTTGTTTGAGTCCAGCACCAGCGCACACTTGCCTGGTTTGCCGCGTCGAAATCGATAGAGCGCTAGAGCGCGCGGCGCGGGGATGCATCACGTCGGCATGGTCGGTGAAGCCTGGAAGGCGTCATCAAACCTCAACATGAAGGCTTTGACTTTTTGAGTGTGAGTTTGTGAGGACAGGAAGTGCCAAACTCAGTCGTAGTGCGTCCGGCCGGGAGCCAACTGCCGCATAACTGGGAGTGGGAGCTTTTACTAGTTTTTGATAGTACATGTAGTTTTACTCTTGATGGAGAGGCCAGAAAGGCAAAATGAATAGTTACACTCAGGGCCTTCTTTACACTGTTACCTACAAAATGTAGATTACAGAAACCAAAGGCCAGGAAGAGTCTTACCGTCCGAGGCTGGAGGTGGCGCCGCGAAAGACATGTGGAGTGTGGGTGTCGTCCCGCGTGCGCGGCAGCAGTGGCTATGCCATGACACCCGGTACCCGCCATCCAGTAAGAAGATGTAAAATAAAACTTCAAACAATCAAACAAAGACATCAAGAGACGACAAGTTCGCGTGGAGAGGGGACACATTGGGGGCTTGTGCTTGAGCTTGGCAGTTAGGGTGGCAGGGAGCAGTACCAGTATTACTATTAGGACTGTTATGACTAGACGGTGCCTGGGTGGGTTCGGGTGGCGGTGGATTTGTCACCTGCACAGCTGCACATGCATGCTGTCAGGCTCAGTGTGTCCGAGGCAACTCGGAGCTGTTTATCATTCGCCATATTTGACTGGCATGCGGGAGGCGGGCCTCAGGCGGCACCAGTGGGATTGGGACTGAGAGCAGATCATGGTTCTTGATAAATCTGCTGCCGACGGTTTGCGGTAAGAAACTTTCTTTGTCACGGACTCACCCCAGTGGTACCCCTGACGTCTTTGCATGTTGATTATGAGACTCCGCGGATCCGGTCAGATCCTCTCACAAGACTGGGGGGGCTCCCCTCAGTGATTGCTTTACTGTGCCCCCCCCCCCCCCCCCCCGGGCCTTAGGCGCCGGTCACACATGCATGGCGCTTTTGCGACACCACCAAAGCTGCACCACAAAAGTTGGGATATCCCCGGATCACCATGGATACTGCGCCTGGCGCCACTGGCGCCATGGCGGCAATCTCAAAAGCGCCACAACCAAAAAATTGGTGGCGAAACACAAAAGCGGTAGTGCAACTTTTGCGGCGTTGTCGTTGTTGGATCTCTTGGATCTTGGAAAAATTAGTTTTTCATCTCTCGTCATGAAGTGGACTGCTGACCAAGAGCAACTGCTCCTCTCCCTCTATTTCGAGGTCAACCATCCGACATGGGACTCGACTCAGGCGTCCACCGATGCTCAAGGAGCTTCCGCAAGATTCAAACGAAGAGAAATTGAACAACATGAATATTGAGGCAATCTCCATAGCTCTCCGCAGTCGCTGGTCACGACGTAGTCGGCGATTCTGGGCGTTTCTGCGATCCATACCAGCGCAGGAAAGGAATTTTGAGGCTACAGTCTTTTTCAGAGAAAAGTTTTACAACACCTGTGGAGACCCGTGAAGCTGCGTGCGTACCAAAGCATGTGTGACCGCCGGCAGAAAAGAGCCGCAAAAGCGCCCACTGCCAGCGTGTTGGAGGCAGCCGCAAAAGCGGTGTCGCCGCCTGCATGTGTGACCGGCGCCTTAGGGAACCCGCAAGTTACACAAGACAACCAGGCTGTGGAAGCGGATATCGTGACGATGTACCGTAACACAACTGCCTACTGGTTGTGGTCTCAACTTCTCAAATTGTTTCGGTATACACTGGTAGTCCCAATGTGTTCATCAGGGCAGGTTTGCTGTTCCCACAGAGCTGGAAGGGTTACCGCCTTTCCGGACATCCAGGTACCTGGAAAGTGGAAACACTGCCGGCCATTTGCACCTGACCCTGCGGCGCACTTCTTATTATCCACTCCATTGTTGGGCAGACTGTACATGCATTGCCAGCCGCTGATACAGCCAATGCGTTTACACAGCAACGTACGGTCGGTTACTATAAGTTACTAGTTATGACTAACAGTTCACCAAGGTAACGAGATAATATCTTTTCTCTTTCCATATTATTATTGGCTCAACATCCGAGTTTTTAGTCTGGTAGATTTGCTAGTT